TTTTTTTTTTTTTTTTTTTTTTTTTTTTTTAGTATATGTAGTTCAGTGTTATAAATCAGTATTTCCCTCTATTGCAGAGTCAGTGGCTCGCTCCAGTAAATTGTTGGGATGGTGTCAGAAGCAGACTGAAGGATATGCCGGAGTCAATGTTACCGACTTAACAATGTCCTGGAAAAGTGGCCTTGCGCTCTGTGCCATTATCCACCGCTACCGCCCAGAGCTCATGTAAGGACCATACCTGACATACTCAGCTTTTACTTCTGTTACTGTTGGAGAAAATGCTGCCGCCCTATGCTGGACACATGACCAAAATTGTATGGCTAATACTGATAATTGTTTTTGTTTCCATTCAGGTAGAACAAATGAAAATGCAAATTAAACGAAGGGAAGGAGGGAGGAGACCAGGCCTCTCTGGGATCTTGCCAGGGCTCTGTGGGGTCTTGCCAGGGCTCTGTGGGTCTAACAAGGCTGGTTAGACCCCACAGAGCCCTGCTACCCTGGTGTGGCCCCCTCAAAGCTCTGGTTAAACCAGGGCTCTGTGGGCTCTCACCAGGGCTCTTTGGCGTCTCACCAGTCTGGTGAAATCGCACATAGCCCTGGTGGGACCCCCTCAGAGCCTTGGTGAGACCCCCTCAGAGCCCTGGTGAGACCCCCTCAGAGCCCTGAAGGGCTCTCTGTGGGGTTTAACCAGGACTAGTGAGACCCCACTGAACCCTTTAACCAGGGCTACGTTAGTGCTACAGTTTGAATTTAAAACGTATTTGTGTGAAGTTAAGTAATGGATTGTGGAACCTAACTAGTGTTGGGTGATTTGTATATACCGTGTTTCCCCGAAAATAAGACAGTGTCTTATTTTTTTTTTTTGCACGAAATAAGACACTAGGTCTTATTTTCGGGGGATGTCTTACCTGGCTGGGGGAGGAGTGGACGAGGTCCCGGAAGGCGGCGTGCTGTTGCCGGTCCCGGCGGATGTCGCTTCCATTGTGCGTCCAGGAGCTGCGGGCGGGAGCTGCGGCTGGCGTGTGGGCGGGGCAGGAGCTGCGTGCGATTTTGTTGTGTGTGTTGTGTTTTTAGGAGATTTTTCTCTTACTTCCTGTTGCATCTGTGGGGATGGGATGTGATGGGAATTCCCAACCATGTGGGGTGGGGGTATTTCCCTATTAGACAGTTGCCACCAGAACGTTTGTCTCCATTAGATTTCACCTAACTTCTGGTTCCGATGGCTTCTGCAAACAGCAGTGGTCACCGGGACAAGTAGGTTTAATCTCCCCAGCTTTCACGGACGGCCATTAAAACCTGACTGGAGTTCTAACCCTTCCGTGCTCCATCCACAGCTACAAAGAATAGTTTTGAAGATGCAGGTAAACCCCACCAATAATGCTCAGCAAATGTCAGTGTGTGCCGGACCTAGTGTAAAATCGTTTTTCTCCCATCACTTTTGTTGAGGACAGTGGTCATCCGGAAACTTCAGGGGGTGAAGCTGCTTTGCAGGGACACAGAGAATGATAAAATCTTGACAGATTCTAAGCCTACTCTACTCTATCCAAAATGAAAAAGAAAAAAAAAAGGGTTTTGCTTTCCTTGCACATTGGAATCTAGCTTTATGTTAATATTAAGGTAAGGATACACTTTAAAGTCTTTTGTCCGGGATCCCTTTGGCCTTGTAGGTGCAGGATAACTCCGGTCTGCAAGGCGTTAGGATGTTGCAATAGGATATAATTTACAGCTGTAATTGCAAGGCATGGCTCTCACTACATTCTGGCACCACCTGTAGAATTGCCCCCTCGGCAGTGCGATCATCTTGTTGTGTTTGGCAGCGGATCAGGGTTGTAATCTTACAAAGCTGTGAACATATAAAAGCATGTTTATTTTATCTCTGGGAATAAATATCGGAGCACACACAATCACTCCCTGCTTTCTTTGATGCAAAGGTGTTCCCTGTATAACAATGTACGCGGGTGAGGTGTCTCCCTTTCCTGAGTGTTCTGTCACCTCTGCCCGAGGGCTGTCAGAGCAAAACACACAATTTCCTGAAACCAGCTCTGCTGTAATCCAAGCCTTCCTATACTGGTACTCTGCTATGGCAGGGTGTGCCATCATTATCCAAATACACCAAGAGTCCTGTCACTGTTGGGGTTACACCCTGCCACCTGTGATAGCCAGGTGTACGCACAAGTGATGATGAAGCTGACTTGTCACTTCCGTACAAAACTTTAAACCGTGCTGCCTTGCCCATTCAGGACAATCTGACAGGGTCTCTTTTTTTTTTTTTTTTTTTTTTTTTTTTTTTCTGTCCTGACCAGAACGGACTGCACTGGTGTGAACAGAGCCCAGAAATACCATAGGGATACATTGGGATGCTTTTTTGGTCCGGGAACAAACTGTTCTGGTCTAGACATGGTATGGACAAGCCCTGTAGCCCACCCCCAATCTACAGCACTCCCCATTCTCTTCTTCCTCTATTAGCCCTCCATCCTGGATATGAGGGAGCATGTTTCTTCCTCCCATGAGGCATTGTTCGGGCCTTGCGGCCTGTCGTTCTCTGTAAGCTCCGACACCTGATATTCTATGATGGCTGCAACAAGTACTGTGAATGGGAGTACAGTTGGGTCAGGGGTGGGCTTTAAAAAGCCTGTCATCTTGCCCTGAGTGAGCAAGTTAGTATGGCCTTTTTTAAAGTTTATCTGAGGACAAACATTTTTATTAGGTTTGAAGTATAGAATGGTTAAAACCTTTTTATGGGGATTTTTTTTTTCATTTTACGTCGGAGAGTTTCCTCAGCTTCCTGTCGCACAAACTCCACAGGAAGTGAGAAAAGCCTCTCCAAATATAGGGAAATCCCCTCCTACACAGTTGTCTTTGTAACAGGTCACACGTGGCAGTAAAAACCTAACAAAGGTTCCAACCCTTCACTGCTCCATCCAAAACAAAAGAAAAAGCTTTGGATACACTTAAAATGTGAAAGTTTGTGGAACAAAATTGGTAAGCTTGTATAATGTCAGGTTGTATGCACTTGCTGTTTGAGTTACAGCAGTGTGTACAAGGAATTATGTGAATCTCTCTCGCTATATATAAAATCTGTGTCTCTGTCTCTCTTCCTCCCTGTGTGTCTCACTCCATAGACGGCAATAAAAGCCTGATTCGATTTCTAACCCTTCCCTGACTTCTCCTAAAAGTGTGTCATTACACTTAATCTTTGAGATGTCTGAAGGGCAGATGTTCAGTATGTATCTAGTGGCCCTCACCCTCTACTGTTCTCCCTTTGCTCCATGCAGAGATTTTGACACTCTGGACGAGCGCGACGTGGAGAAGAATAACCAGCTGGCGCTCGATATCGCAGAGCGGGAGCTAGGTATCTCTCCGATTATGACCGGGAAGGAGATGGCGTCTGTCGGGGAGCCGGACAAGCTTTCCATGGTGGTTTATCTCAGCCAGTTCTATGAAATGTTTAAGGAGACCCCTGTAAGTGTGTGGGGAAAAAAAAACCCAGTGATTTGTGTTTTATATCCAGACATGATTGCTGACCAGACCCATTCAAACCTTTTAGCACTGTAAAATAGGGATGCACCAATACTTTGCAGATACTTGGCATTTTCATGAGAACTACCAGGGTTGCAGCTGGGGCCTGGCTCTGGCGCTCCACCACTGTCCTGAAATCATTAGTCTGTATTGTTTTAGAAAAACTGTCGCATGACAATAACCAAAAATGTATCAGTACTTGTAAATACTTGGGCTTGTACTTGCAAAAATGGTATCAGTGCATCCCTTTTTATATATGTTTATAACAATAAAATCATACATTAAAACAGAGATGTACCCAGGAGCTCCGTGTGCTCCTTACAAATGACAGCTGCCTCCTAACTTTTGAGTTTTTATGTAGTCTAGTCTTGGAGCTGGAAAAGTATCTGTACTTTTACTTGTCCCGAGTACGGTACTTGGTATCGGTGCATCCCTACTGTAAAAAAACAAAACTTGATTAAAAAAAAGGCAAATGTCCTTTACCATCCAGACCTCGGAAAAGCAGCCAAAGTCCCCCAAGGGCTGCTCTTTTTGTCTGGTCAGGCAGCTATGCATCCTTTCTGAGGCAGCAGGCTGCAGTGGATTGAACATGGGTTGCCTTTTTTTTTTCATAGACCCAGGCTTGTGTGCCATGATACTATGGGAAGGGTGATTTTTGTAATGTTTATGTCGACCTGTCAGGGCCTGGTCACACCTTAATATCCTCTTGCCTGAAAGCCTTATTTAAAAAAAAAATCCAGGCATAGAGGCGAACTTGTACATGGGAGAGCAGCATCTGAGAACTCGGGAACCCCATTTGAAGATGTATATGGCTTTTGTGGAAATGACCTTTACTGGTGACACTAATAAGATTATGGACTAGTGTGGAGACTTTTATAGTATGACCTTTTATCTCTGCAATCAGCCCTGTTCACTCTCCTTAGCTGAGGTCAGACTTATTATGATGATTATTGTGTTTTACTATTGAAGAATCTATTTTAGGACATCCAACTGACCTCTCCTGCCTCTCATATTTCCAGACAATGCCGATCCAAACGCAGACGAGAAGGCTGCTCTCCTTGCTACCGCCAAATCACCAATCTCCTTCCTCAGCAAGCTGGGTCAGACCATCTCTCGGAAACGCACCCCTAAGGTAGGCTGCTGACTCTTCGTGGGAATTGTGACTTTGTGCTGCAGCTTTATATTCTTGTATAACTCTAGTTAGCTGATGTCTGGTGGATACATATATAAAGGCACAACTCCAGCCAAAATTGATTTGGACATAGTTGGGGGAGAACACTGAACAGTGAATCCCATTGGGGAGATTTTCAGCTCACTTTCTGTCCCTGGGACACCAAACAAGAATTGGAGGAAGCAGGAAGTTACGGGCAGTATTTAAAACCTGACAGGTTGTAACCCGTCACTTTATTAAGAACAGCTGATTTAAGCCTCATTCACACGAGAAAAAGCTGCGTATCGGGCAATCACTTTACCCGGGCTGAGATAATGTCTTCAGTCTGCTGCAGGCAGGAGGAAGCATTTCTTCAGTCTCCTCTCCCCCCCAGTGATCAGACTAAAAGATTGTAACTTTGTAGCAATTCCTCAATGTGGGAGGCTGAAGCAGGGGCAGATCTGTCAGACATTTGTGAACACAGCCAAGAACGGCACAGGAACCTGGATTTACATGTCAGATTTGAACTGGCATCTTAGTCCAGGAAATAGATGGTGACTCTGGATGATGGCTGAACAAAGATGGCTCTGTCTGTCTGGAGAAAAAAAACAGATGAAAGTATTGTCAGGGGGGGAGTACTGTTATCTCTGTGGAGGTAATAAATACCTGGAAATGTTAGTGACCTAATACGAAGCATTAAAATACATCTATTGACAGGTCCACTTTATGATGCGGGGGGAAAAAAAAAAAAGAGGGGCACCAAAAGTTTTTTGTTTTTGTATTGTTTTGTATTTGTTTAGCTTAATTCCTTCTCTACCTCCCCTCACAGAACTGTTTTTTTTTTTTTTTTTTTTACAAAAAACTTTTTTTTTTTTTTTTTTGATTACAAAGGACAAGAAGGAAAAGGAGGTGGACAGCTCGGGAAAGAGGCGGAAGACGAGCCAATCAGAAGATGTAAGTTTGGCGGGACGTTCATCCATAACCAGGAAATGGTCTGTGATAGTACACCACCGACCCTACAGATAATGTCCAGATGAGCTTTGAATACAGGCAGGGCCACTTCCTGTTTACTGATACAGGCAGGACTTGTGTTTTCTTTTTTTGTAATCTTTGTTTTATATGTTGTAAATGCTGTATGTTCGTATTGTAACTTGAAACGCCAACTCGGCTCTGTACGGAGGTAAAACAATCACATTTGTGACCCTTTTCGGACCCTCAGAGTGACACAAGGTAGTGTCACTCTATGTAATCAGAAAGTAACATCGCTATTCAATTCCTACAGCTTGGTGTGTGATCACCCTGCCAGCAGCCTGCTTATTGGACAACAAATGAGCAGCATGCCACAGGTGGGGTCCTCCCTGAGCATTGCCGTCCATGGATGCCTGCCTAAACACCTCCCAATCCAGTGTTCTGTCAAATCTTTGACTGGTGACGTCACGTCCTATGACTCGCCAGTAGCAGATGTAGACCAGATTTCGCTAGTGCCAACGTTGGAATCCTCATCAGGTTATCGAGCGCCCGTCACTGCGCCTGTGTGGCTTTGCAATCCCCATTAAGTTCTCTGACCCAGTCAGCGTGACGGCCTGGTCTCCCAAAAGCGCAGCCACCCGATGGTAAAACATATCTCTAAGCACGTTGTGCCGTCAGGTGGGGGCGCTAAAACGTTACTTGGAGGACTAAATTCCGCTGTTCGGTGACTGCATGCGCACTGACAGGAGTTGGAGATCTTGATGGGCATTGTGAAGCTGGGCAGTGACTGGAGACCGATGCCGATTCTGACGGCGGCACGGCTGGCGCACCAGTGCCATCTTGTCCGGACGTAACGTCACCAGTCGGAGATCTTGACAGGCCGGAGCCTTCGACAGAACACCGGCTCTCCGTTCCTGAAACATGTAAGGATAGCATTACTGTCAGTGCAGTTACACCTGATGAGCCAACATTGCCAGACTTCCGCTGCCACCCTGATTTCTGGTGTGCAGGAGTTCAGGATTTTACTGACAGTGTTTTAGGAAATACATTTATTGTATCAATTCTGAGGGACGGATGTATTATTATTTTCAGGAGTTCTATTTTCATTAGCTGCCTTGTTTCTTTCGAAGCGTGTTCTATTTATTTTTAAAAATCAACGTAAATATCGAAGTTGTTTTTCAGAACAATTTTTATGTTGCTGTTCCGGTTTGGACATTTTTCTTCTTCTTTTGGAAATAAAGTTATAATTTTTGCTTAATTTTTCAATGGCATTATTTTACATTTCAGTAAGGCAAAATGTTAAACTGCAACTCCAAAAGTTAATTTTTTTTCATTTTTAGTTTTGGATGGTTGAGAGGGATTAGAAAACCGGTCAGGTTTCTATTTATTTTATTTATTTATTGCAGGTATTTATAAAGCACCGACAATTTACGCGGTGCTTTACAATAGAACACATTCACATCAGTCCCTGCCCTCAAGGAGCTTCCAGTCTAAAGTCCCTATCATGCATGCATACAGAGACAAAGGTGCCCATACACCTTACAATTATCTGCAGATTTTCTGTGGTCAGATGGAAAAAGTGCAACAGATTGGCCCAAGTGGAGATTACTCCATTCACACAGTTAAGTGTAGATGGAGGAATCTGTTGCACCTTTTCCATCTGACCACAGAAAATCTGCAGATAATTGTAAGGTGTATGGCCAGCTTTAGACAGGAGCCAATTAACCTCCCAGCATGTCTTTGCAGTGTGGGAGGTAACTGGAGTACCTGGAGGAAACGCACACAAGCACAGGGAGAACATGCAAACTCCTCGCAGATAGTGACCTGACCAGGATTTGATTTCCGTCTTTCACATAGACAAAGTTGTATGAAACACTCAATCTTTTATTGAATCCAGATCAAAAACGGATACATTGTCCAGCACGTTATTTCTTTACATTTTTGCCCAAGCACTTGACTACCCTGAACATCCTGCCCAATACAAGATCACACGGGACAGAGAAGCCTCCAGCAGCCGTCTATCTGCTAGCTTGGATGAGGGTAGTGTCTTGCCTTGCTGTGTCTGTGGAGGTGGACAGTTTACTAGCACACACAAGGATGGCTCCATAGGACTGTGCACGGAAAAGGAGCCCCCCTATAACAGGGTATCGGGACAAGTGCTCGGGAGACCAGCTGATTCTGTAGGAAACTAAAACTTTTAAACATCAAGAAGCAGCATCTGTTGCAAGTGATTTTAATCAGCGTTGAAAAGAACATAAAAGCCTTTTGACTTTAATATGACTTTAAGGAGATTCATCCTCCCGGGATGGATGGGGACATTAGTTCTGGTGACCCTGCTGACCACCAGGCATTTCCATCACGTTAAAGGAATTTTCCCTCTCTTCCTGTTGTGGCTATTGGACAGGATATGAAGGGAAATGGGACACAGATGGCAAAAAAAGCTTACTGGGTTATAACCCTCAATTACATTATCCAAAACTAACATTTTGGCTTCAGTCCTACTTTTAAAATGTTTAGTATTGGTATTTCCACTCATTTTCCAACATCAGACATTGCCAGGGTCCTATGGTGGGTTTTTTTAGGTATAATTTGGCCAGTTCTTACTTGACCTCTGATCATTGTACCAGTGCAGAGGTCTTTTTTCAGCCAGCAAGGCACTTCCAGGACTCATTAAAATGACACTAAACTCAGGAGTTAAATCTTAAAAATACATAAAAGTACCTTTTTAACTATTAACAAAGATGTATCATATTTGTGTATCACTCGGCTGTAGATCCTCAAATCATCTCTGAATTGGTGCCGACACTGTGCTTCCTTCTGGAGGGGGGATACTTTTGTTCCCCATGGTCCCTGTGTGTGTTGTAAAGTAGTCACCACTCCAAGCTCGCTCCCGTGATGGACTACAATCTCACCTTTTTAGGTTACCAATTTGTATTGAGATTGTAGTCCATCACGGGAGTGAGCTTGGGCTCTCCGCTGGTGTAAGCCTGCGTCGGCGGGCTTTGATAGGCTAATACAGATTGCTTTGGACATAAGCTTAAGACACTTCTGAGACTATTCTGAATTCACTGACTGGTGGATTTGGCTGGCTTCAGCTTCTCCTATTCTCACAGGCTTGTACGGGGCGGGGGGCCTATACGTGAAAGTTCAGGTTGTGCACGGCATAAGACCAGGTCACTTGGATGTGTCCTCCCCCGTCAGACAGACATTCGACCACAATATTGGCTTGGCAAAATTTAAAGTGACCATGTCTCCTTTTTGACCCCTCACAACCAACTTGAAATCTGGCCCCCAGTAAGTACTGATCGGTGCCAGTAATTACAATCTGTTGAGGCATTGAGCAAATTTCAAGTTATAGAAAATTGGGCAGTAAACCCTTAGCGCATCCAACAATGTATTGAGGCTATTGAAAGGCCCCTTTTAAGAAGATGCGTCTGATACATGTTCCCATTGATTTCAATCGGTGCAGCAAGTGCGTCCGACACGGGAAAAGTAGCTCCTGTAGCAAAATCTACAACATGCATTCCATGTTTATTTTCCCACGTGCTTGTGTGCGTTTAAACACACGAAAAAAGGCATGTTTTCCCAGCTGCGTTTGGGGAGCCATTACCAAGTAATGGCACCGCAAGCGCGCTGCAAGGTTTTGACGTGTTCTGCAAACATATTTCTGTGCACGTTTGCCACACGTTCATGGACCGCTTAGGTGTGAACAGGGCAGAGACGGGCACAGCATACTGTCACTGACTTCAGGGCAGATAGATTATTCTGGTTGTTAGGATTAGGAGATCATTAGCAACCCCTTCCTCCTCTTCAGCTTCAGAAACTCAGACAACATTCATAATGGGTGACGTGCTGCTGAAACATACTTGTAGATTTTTTTTTTTATTTTTTTTTTAAATGGAGCATTTGTGTGTCCTGGGCCCCTAATATTAAATATATTTATTCATGCCTAAAATGTAAATATAAATAAAAAATTGCATTTCCAGTTAATTTTTCAGGTTTCATGTAATAGGCATTTAACCATTACAATAACCTGTCAAAAAGAAAAACTTTCCCTATGCTTCCCTAATAACCAAAGCCACTACCAGCGTGTCGATGCTAAGAAATGGTTTAAATTGTTGTTCTGCAGCCACCAATCAGAATCTGGTCTGCTCGGAAAATGTAGAATGAAAATTTGAATCCGATTTTAGCTGAACCTTCCTTCCTTCTTTTTTTTGTTTTTTGTTTCCGTCTTCCCCAAAATGAGGGTAATTCCTCTTAGACAGTTTTCACCGGACAATTCAATTATTCCAATTGGAATCTTTATCTTTACCTCCTGTTCTGACCACAAAGTTTTGGCTCTCATCATTTTACATGATGACTTTTGAGTGCTGAGGCAGTGTTTTCTATGCAGTGAACTGTCTTCTGCTGGTTGACAGTAAAGGTGGCCATACACTTTACAACCATAGCAAGACCACTCTGAGGGGCGGGCTTCCGATGACCGCAATGCTGAACGGGCAGTGTGCGTGTGCGCACACCGGCCCGTTCGGCATTTGTCTCCCAAGCATCATTCAAACCAGCCGAAAATCGTAAGATTTTTCGGCTGGTTTTCTAGCATGCTCCTTTAGACAAAAGACGTGCGACCGTACAGTAGAAACGGTCGCACGTCTTCATTCACACTGCACGATTCTCGTACGATAACGGGATTTCCCATGATTCTCGTACGAATGGGCACCTTAACGGTGCATAGCCTTGTAGAAGAACCGTGTTATAGTCAATGTACTGTATTCTCACATCTGAAACTCCGGTTAAAACTATGCTGCTTGCAGTAGTCCTGTCACTACCTGCACACCATCTGTAACTACAAATCTGATACCTGCTCTAACCAGCAGTGATGGAGTTTTTGACCCAGCAGTAATCGGCATCACTTTTAGTTTCTTCTTCTGGGTAAAAAAACAACCCCCAGAAATATGGCAGCTGTGATTCAGCATTGGACTAGTTTTTGGGGGCGTATACTCAGACTGCCACCCTTTAAGGTAGAGTTGGCCTTTCAAACATACTGCTGAATCATTGACCGCCACAGAATAAAACTGCTGGAGTATAGTGTGGGTAACCCTAACAATTAGCTTCTCTTATTTGACTTTTTGGTCTTTTAAAGTGTTTTGTTATATCTGTTCTATTTGTTGCAAGAAGGGGAAAAAAAATGTGCTGATCCTGCCTGAAATCTTGTTAATAAATTCCTTTTCTGTCTGCCCTTGCTGCAATCTTATCAGTTACATTGATCCTAACAATTTGTAGGACTACAGAACACCTCACCTCATGTTGTGGAGAAGGGAGGAGGTATTCCGTAGTCTTGTCCTAAGGTGACAGTGCTGCTTCTCCATAATGAACAGTACAGTAAGTGAGTGTTGCCACCATGATAGAGGAATCACTGGGTGAAAATGAGAAAAAACAAATGCAGTCATCACATCTAAGGACATGTAAGCTGCAATATATAACATTTTTTTTATAACATTTTTGTTCCTGCGTTTACACCTAGGCATCAGCGTTTTTGTGCACGTTTCTGGCTAGCGCGGATTGCATATTTTTGCACATTTTTGCACATTTTACACGTATTAAACGCGCACTCATGAAGATGCACGCCTTAGCTGGCAGATTGCAAGACTTTGCGGTCAATAGACACATGCGCGTAAAAGCATGCAAAAAACGCGCACAGAAATGTGCAGAAATTCTTGTTTCGCGCATTTTTCAGGCATTTTTATTGGAGTCTATGGGGCCAAGCGCATTGCAAACTGGCCCAAAGAAGCTCAGGAACTTTTTCCAGTGAAAGGAGTTTTGTAGCTTGTAACAAAACGCTCAGGTGTAAACGAGGGGCCATTGAAATGAATGGGAATTCATGTGCTGAGCTAGGTGTGAATGGGGCCATGTTCATTTATTTGTGCACACATTTCTAGGACCATTCTCAAAACTTTTCAATGACATTACAGTGTAACCTACACAGACTGCGCTGCAAGCTTCACGTGCTTAATCTGTAGGGTCGCTGCAGGTCACAGAGGGGTGAATGTAGTCTTCTAACGGCTTTTACATCTCTTGTTTTGCAGGAGGAAGGTCCACGGACTCTGCGAGAGGAGCACCCTTCCCAGCAGAGTTCTGGAACAGACAGGAAATTGGATGCCGCGGCCAACAACCAGAACAGGGTGAAGTCAATGGCGACGCAGCTGCTGGCTAAATTCGAAGAGAACGCTCCAGCACCCAACACGGGCCTGCGGAAGCAGGTAAGAGGCATTCAGAGGACATTGATTACCTTTTATGACGATGTGAGCAGGGGCATAACTAGAAATCACAGGGCCCCATAGCAAAATTTTTTATGGGGCCCCGTGATTGCTAGTTATGCCACTTGCAGAGCCCACAGGAGAGTGACCCTGCAGAGCCCACCATAGACTCTCTATAGTGGGCTCTGCAGGGTCTGAGATCTCTTACCTGTCAGCGCTGTCCACCTCTGTGGTCTCCTGGGCCCCGCCTCCTCTGCTATCGACGGGCCCCGCCTCCTCTTACATCACTGGCCCCACCTGCTCTTAGGTCGCTGGCCAGTGATGTAAGAGGAGGCGGGGTTGCTCTTAGGCGGGCCCCGCCTCCTTCTTTCCGAACATCGCTCTCATCTGCCGCAGCGGCTGGCTGTCACTGACACAGCTCCGCAGCGGCTGTGAGGGGAAATGCGCCGCTGCTGAGCTGTGTCAGTGAAAGCCAGCACCCTTACATGCCATAGCGACCCAGACGGCCCTGGCCGGGCCCCATAGCGGCTGCCTGGGTCGTTATGGCGATTTGTTACGCCACTGGATGTGAGATATACAGTAAATACTGGACATAAATGCTTTGATAACCTATGTTGCAGTTTATATTTTTGAGACATAGCAACTACTTAATATTTTTAATTACTTAAATCTGAAGGAAAGTCTTTATTTAATACAGCAAACAAATGTATTAAAACCACTGTAGCCATTGTAGCTCTCAGCAGTCCACCAACGTTCTTCTCCTCCTGGTCTACATTGATCAGCAGATAATTTGGGCGTGTTATGGGTTTCTGGACCGAACTGTGTTTTGAGTGAATGTTATTAAATAAAAAAAAAAGCAGTTTTTTCCGGTCCAGCCAAAAATGATATTTCACTTGTGGGTGGGACCCCATTGGTGAGATGTTCCTGGTGGTACTGCCACCTACCTGAGGTTGTTCCCACTCCTCCTCACATAGCTTTAGCCATAATATGGATAATGCAGCACGGAGATTGGGACATTATTGAACACATGTGGGTGTTCGTTAAGGTGGTTTGCATATCATTTCTTCCTACCTAGGAACACCCACTCCTCCAGACTGATATTCACCTGGTGGGGGCATTTTTATATTTGCAGAACATTACTGGGCCTAAAAAAATATCCAATATAAAAATGGAAAGGTTTTATTTAAAAATGTTATGTTGGTAATGAGTGAGGAACCAGAGAAGGCAAAATATAAAGTAGGTTAAACTTTACCTTAAAGAACTTTCTTTTTTTCTGTGCCACATAGCCACCATGTGGCCACGTCAAAGAGTGTCATGTCTGCCTGTGTTCTATTTTATTTTCTCACATTTCTCCCTTTTCCTCTTCATTTCCCTCCTACCATCATTCCCTCCATGCTTCCTCCTCCTCCCGGACGCCCCTCAGAAACCCTTATTGCCTTATCAGCAGCGCTTACTAGAAGAAGCTGCCCTCAGACATACAGAGCCACAGTGGAAACAGGTAACCAGTGCCGGTCAACAGATTAAAGGTCACTCTGCACTCCCATATAGAAGTATAATATATACTGTAGCTTGAAAGCAATCCTTTAAAAAACTGGCAAATATGAGATTTTGTTGCTTTTTGTAAAATGTTTGTGAGTAATAGCCAGCAAATGATAAATATCTTAATCCGCATTAATTAACTTTGTAATATTAACTAGCGAATATACATGTTTATGGAGTAACATTGAAGTAGGTGTACTGGAAAAATACATTCTATAATCCAGCAACTGCCTATAAAACACTTTGAAGGCAACATCTTGGTAATCGTGGGGTGCTGGACGGGAAATGCAGTTCTCCACCATCCTGCTGCAGCTGTAATATTAAACTGCAATGACAATGATTTCCACAGCGGTGCAAAATATTTTATGTAACCGGTATCTGTAGTAGGACCAGGTTATCGTGTAGTTACGCATCTGTGCTCCAGAGGGTAATGCACAAAGAATGGATACTGGCCACTGAGTGATTAACGCACGTAGGCTGTGGACCGGCCACTGAGGAGTTAAAGTGCATAGGCAGGGAACTGATCACTGAGGTGTCAGTATACATGGGCTGGGGACTGGCCACTGCTGGAAAAGGCATGTAAGATGGGGACTGGCGACTGCTGGTTAAGGCATGTAGGTAGGGACTGACCACTGCAGGACTAAGACACGTAGGCAGGGAACCTGCCGCTGAGACAAAGCACGTAGGCTGAGAGCTACTCTCTTAGGGGCGAGGGTACATATGTTAGGGAGTGGCCACGGCATATAGGCTTGGAAATGGACACTGCTGGATTACTCCTTTTAGGCTGGGGGTTGGGCAATTGGGGACTGAGGCATAACGCTGGGAACTGGCCACTGTGGGGCTAAGACCTATAGGCTAGGGACTGGCCCCTGTGGGACTAAGGCATGTAGGCTGGGAATGGCCACTGCTTAGCTAAGGCGTGTAGGCTGGGAAACTGCCACTGAGAGGCCAAGGCATGTAGGCTGAGGATTAGTCCCTGAGGGGCTTGGGTACATAGGCTGGGAATTCGACACTGCAGGGTTACCACGCTCAAGCTGGGGACTGGCCACCGAGGGGTTGAGTTATTTAAGCTTGGACTGCGTTCTAAGGCCCGTAGACTGGTGACTGAGGCACGTAGGCTGTGGACTAGGCAATAAAGGGCTGAGGCATGCAGTCTGGGGACTGGTCACTGAGGTTAACATGAATGTTGTTCTGCTCCTGTTCAAAAGATTCCTATAACATAATTCAGGCAGATAAAGGTATATAACGTATACACATGTTGTCGATTTTGTGAATGTCTCCCCATCCTTTCTGTTCACCTTTTAAGCCCAGGATTAATGATCTTCCCCGGACTTGCCCCAAAAAAGTCATCAGTCTGTATTCCCGGCCAAGCCCCGTCCCACACCCTTTGACGCAGGTGACTCGGGCAATATGCTTTATGCGTTTCTCACTGCTTCTGGCTGGCCATCTGCTCTGTATGTATGGGCGGAAAAGTCAGACCTGTCTGCATGATTTGTGCGATATCATCGAATCTGGGTTTAACTGGGTGTGTCTGTCATACTAAGCATGGATCAACCTGCCCCAGAATTGAAAAATTTGGATCAATTAACATTTTGCTGTTCTGTCTAAAATCCAGCTGTAGAGGATGTCCAATGTATGACTTGAATTATTACATTCATTGGATCTGATGTATTTCGGGGGAAAAAAATTATTTTGGTCATCTTAAAATCCTCAGTGAACCTGCAAAAAGTTGAAGGCGATCATTAACCTAACACAAGCTGTGAGTTCATGGCGAGTGATCAAATGATGTTGCAACCTTTTCATACAAGTAGAAATATTGGGAGGCTGCTGGATTGCCAATATAGAAACATTCTTGCTGAATCAATGGACAGGCAAAATTCCAGAGTTCAGAGTTTGTGGCCCTAATTTACTCCAGCCAGTCTTAACAGCTTGTTCCTGAAACCCGGCTTCTCCAACCAAACTCTTGTTTGTCATTCGCTCGCGGTGCCACTTTTAAGGATCTGTATACTTATGTGGTCTAACTGCACCCTGCCAGGACCTCACATGCTGTCTGTGCCAGCGCACTCTGCTTTGGCTGTTCACCAGTACCACTTTAGGCTCCTTCTGTGGCAGTGCCAGCTGCCTGTTCACTTTACATTTGTCCCAGATTTCTTACTTTGTTTTATTTTCTCTTTTCTATCCCATTCACAGAGTAGCCCGGTGCCACCTGGCGACCGTGGAGAGACGTGTCCTAGCCCGGAAAGGGTAAACCGCATGGGTTTGGTGTGCCTGAGTGTAAACACATGAAAACAAAGGAATTTTAGGGTGTTAACAAGCGCTAGTATCCAATCTCCACACCATATGTCAAGACCAGTTAAACTTGGTTTAAATCATGGAAATATCTTTCAATTGCATCAAAACAAAAGGTGTTTAAAGTCTTACAGCTTGTTTTCTTTAGAAAGCAGCCTGTCCCCTACCAGTATGCTGTGGAGAAGGACCCTTGCTCTCTGGGTGGAAGCAGTGGTCTCTACGCAGCGGGCTGGCATGTCCCTTACTGAGTCAGACCTATTGCTTGGAAAACGCATGATCCATTGCGATTGGAGAGGAAGCAAGGGTCCTTCTCTGTAGTTTGCTGGAAGGCAACAGGCTTTTCTTCTCAGGCTGTGGCTGCTTTCCAAAGAATTGTGTAAATCCTATCACACTCCTGACCGTAAATGCGCAAACGTGGTTGGCGCCACGTTTGCAACCAATGAGGATCAGAAAAAGTCACCAGCAAGCACGTCTTTTTATTGATGCTCGTTCACATGATCACAAAGCAAACAACGTGCTTGCATCACTATTGGAGTGTTGGTGACTTTTTCTGATCTTAATTTTTTGCTTTCCAAAGACAAGCTGTAAGACTTTGCACACCTTTTTGTTTTGATACACCTAAAATGTATTCATCGGATTAAAATTGAAAGTTCAGTTGAGATTTAAAGCAAACTTGTACTATGCCAATAAAGAGAAAAGCAACCGGCTTGATTTTTATTACCTTCCTCCCAACAGCATGCACCTTTTCCTTTGCTCCTCCTCCACGCAGCTACTGGGAGCAAAGAAAACATCTTGCACTTCAAAGTATTGAGTAACATGTGGCTCACTCCATGTGAAAGTGCTGGTGATTTGCTCAGCACTGTCACGTGAAGGTGGGTTAAACGTTAAAGCACGAAATCAGAGGTGTGTGAAGTCCAAAATAAATTGAATTTGTAAGATACAGTAAAACAACAATGCATTTCAGGTATTTGAATCACTTCCTATTATCGTAGTTTAGTAGGTACTGAATGAGCTATTTTCTGCAGCCGAAATAATGATGGAATATGTTCAAGTAATTTGTAATGGATAAAAAGCCTGCTGATTTTAAGGACCTTTCAAACCCATTGAAACACATCGGCTGTTTTATTGTGCGGATGTTTTGAATAAAATGTATTCTGGGCATCACACACTACATTATGTGGGAGGATGGAATTATAATGAACATGTTGCTTTGAATTACATGGGCCAAGCACAAGCTCAGTATAATATTTGTATAGAAATTTTAGTTCATCAAAACCTCTCCAGATATTTTCCTCGGAGCTGCAGCTCCATAGAAAATATAGAAAGTAAGACCGGAGTGACTTCTGTCCTCCCAGCTTTAAGGGTTTTCCACATAAACTTGCATACTTTGCATACCATGTGTAACAATAAAACACATTCTTACAAAATCTGAAATGTAGTAAAACATTTATTAGTGGCAGACAGTGTGAGCCCTGGGTTATTTTCCCAGTTAGCCAAATGTAAGCTCTGTTCATTTTGTTTGTTTTTCAAGTTTTAGTAATAGTGCAGTGACGCTTGTAGCTATCCCTTGGGCAGTATGATTTCTCATTTGTTAAAAATGTATCTCGAACTCCTTCCCACCTATGATCTGTAGTTTAGCATCCCCTGCCTGATGTCTTGTTTCTTAGGTATGCTAATCTTAGATCTCCCTTTGACATCAAGCAGCTAACACTTTGCGTGGCTGTTAGACCTGGCTCATCACACCAGTTCCCACTAATAACAGTGAACCAATCAGAATGTTTTCTGATCATGTGATTACTTTGTCACCTATGACATAGTGATCACATGCCGGCTGGAGTTTTTATACACAAAATAAACCATATGCCTGAAGGTGATTAGTACTGTAGTTGTCATGTAATATACAATGACTGTATTCAAAAAAACACATTCGGCTCAATTCACAAAGCTAAAACACATAGAACACTTATTTTTTTTAAAGGGACAGCCTAGCCCAATGAGATTTGAAAATAACAGTCACATGACTGAAAATAAAGATGTTTATCTTTAAAATAGTTACTTTAAAATAAATTTAGTAGCTGATGCACATCAAGACTGCTGAATGTCACCTGGGCTTCTAGGGTTCGGTCACCCCCCTCCTTCCCCACCTTATTCTGAGTTTAGATTGATCCCCCAGTTTCCTGCATCTATCTAAAACTCTTTTGATTGTCTCTTAGTCTCTTAAACATTTCTAAATGCCGCGCCCCCCTCCCCCTCATACCGTCTCCCCACTCAGTCCCCTGCTAATGATTATTTCCACTTCTCAGTTCGATGTTGACCCTGCCGTTCACTCTCCAGTCGACCAATGGCAGCACTCCATCTCCCTGTGCTCCACTGAACGCCCCGCCTCCCCCTCTTACGATGAAATCCGACAGGTAGCATGTTTCTGACACACGTGTGTGTGTGCAAAGCTCTGGTGTGTACAGCTAATGGCATGCGCTTGAGTTATCCACCAGCAAGAGCCACTGCTGCCAAACGTGACTTGAAAGAGTTCGGCCTCATTCCTAAAAGTGGCTTAAGCAGGAACTGTCTGTTACCCAGCCCTTCCCCTGCTCAGAACCCAAATGATTGCCAGATATAGGAACAGACCGTTCTTAATTAAGATTCTTTAAAAGATGAGGCCTTTTGTGTAATTTGCACAGTTAGAATGGCTTTCAAGTTAATCAGCACTACCTTTCAGTCAACATGTGTAAAAATTCTATACCAGTTCATTCTGTAGTATGTAAAGGATCAGGTACACCCTATGGTAATGTGTAATGGGGTTTGCAGACATGAGGAGGACTCCATAACTATAGAAGCGTGAGGCTGCAGGTGAAAGGCTTTTATAAAAGGCCCTGGACGTTGATTTGGCATATCCCTGTTAACCATGGGGGCCGCTTAACACAATGTTTCACTGGAATTCCTACAACAGTCATTGTGCACAGCAGAGGTGATCCTAATAATTAAACTGTGCTGTGAAAAAAAAAGTCTGGATTATATTTTTAGCTGTCTGTCCTCAATTTTACATCCGTGTTTAGCCTCTAAAACATGCTGCAGTAATGGCTAGGCTTAAGAGGGAAAGGAACATGGGAGGAAACATTTCCTAAACTGGCCATACGCCGATCAATTTCTTTCGTTTTAACCCGGGGGGCTGAACGGAAAATAATTGGCGCGGTTCCTCCGTCAACAAAAACATTGTGTTGATCGAGGAATCACTGCTGTTTGCATTGTATTAGCTGCCGGCACCTCCTGTCAGAATACCCGATCAGAGCGGGCAGTTTATTGGCTGCCGGCTCTGATCGCACAAAGATTTTCCAGCCGACTCTTTCGATCAGCTGATCGAGGAATGCCGGCCGAAAGGGAGCAGACAGCCCCACATACCGTGCAAATTTTGGCCGGTACATTAAAACCAGCCGAAATTCAGCTAGTGTATGGGCAGCTTTGCAGTAACTTTAGGCTGGGTTCACACCTGGGCATTTTTCAGCCCTGATCGAAGCGCTGAAAAATGCTCAGCAAGTGAAATCCCATACTTTCCTATGGGCATGGTTCCCACATGGGCGTATTTCAGCGCGTCGAAACGAGCTCAAAAACGCCCTATGCCCAAACAAATACAGGAGCTCCTTTGGGGCGTATTTCTGCACGTATCAATTAGGATACAGCCGGATAGCTCACGTAAACGCGCGCCTGACGCGCATATTTCGAACGCCCAGGCGGGAACCCAGCCTTATAGCTAGTCACCAGCTGAGATGCTGCAGCCGGGTTGATTAGAATTTTGTGAACACAGCCAAGAACTACACTGACGCCAGGATTTACATGATTTTGTCATCTCCGAGCTGGCATCTCAGTCTGGGAAGTAGATGATGACCCTGGTTGATGCCTGAACAAATAGCGCCATCCTTCTTGGGAGAAGAACAGAAGATAGCATTGTCTAGGGGTGTGGTGTACTGTGATGGTGTCACTTCAGAAACAGCTGAAATTTCTCTAATAAGAAAAACTTAAGGAATGAAACAATTAGAAAACTCACAAATAAGTAAATGGAAATGAGTAATTGGCCTGCCGTTCATGGCTATAGAGTGAATTTTGAAGGCAAACTTAGCCATAGAGTGTACCTGGATCCCGGGAACAGACCTGGCGCTGTGCTAGGTTGGCTCTTTATGGCCGCCATAGAGGAGACACTTTCTACTAACAGAAACGATCTGTGTCCTGGTGTGCGTTGCTGCCGTGCGACTCCACTACAGTACGCCTCACTTGCTCGCACCTGTGGATTGGGTGTGCGTGTGACCTTTGACATTTTCACCTTTTACCTGTGGTTCATTCGCTCTTCTTCCTCTCTCCCTCGTCTCCCCTTTGTCAGAAGTACATAAAGATATATACAGGCGGTGTGAGCTCATTGGCTGAACAGATAGCCAATCAGCTGCAAAAGAAGGAGACCCCCAAGCCTCTGTTTGGGAAGAAAGTGGTAAGCCAGATAAAGTGCATCAGTACCTATCAGTAACTTTTCAATTGGGTTTTGCTTTGCGGTTTTGTTCTTTGTGGGGTTTTTTTCTATCTATTGCATAGTAGAATGTTAAATGAAAACTGTCAGAGCAAAAGTATTGGACAATGTAACTTCTGCTTTTCTTTACAGAGGTCCTAAATATGTGCTACATGCCTTCTCATTTTTCTGTTCTGACAGGTCCACTTTACCCGTTCTGTACCCTCATGGACCAGAGCAATTTTTATAGATCAGCTATGTGCAAATGGATTTGGCGCACACAGCAATTACTTTGTGTATCTCTACCTAAAGCAATTTTTAGTTGTTTGATATACTAGGGAATGTTTAGAACTTTTTTTTTTGCTGCCTGTGTCCGATCGGGACATTTTTTTGCCATCACTTTCCATCCTAAGAATGCAGGCAGGTAGTAAGAGGAAATCTCTCCAAAGCGAGAGTTACATCCTCTTAGTTTCCACTGGATATAAAGCCTGGGAGGTTTACAAATTAAAGAGGTATTTTTTTAGCATTTGTGTGTTTTTGTTTTTAATATAGCACATAATGAAGATATATACAAAAAAAAAAGTTCACATGCCAATAGATAATTTTTATTTAAAGCTCAACTCTGGCATAAGCAAATATTGACTAAATACAAGAGCAATTTGTGTTCTTCCTGAATCTTGGTGCGCTTTCAGTATTTCTTCCAGATCTGTGCAGTAATCCAGTGTGAAACTTTGCCTCTGTGCAGGAGCTTCCTGTAATAAAGACCGGTCACTGCTGCTCTATCTCCTTGTGCAGGGTGACTGGTCTTATCTCTGCCCCCTCCTCTAGTTTAGCCTCTCTCAAGCAAGGTTCCAATGGAATTAAAAAGAGATTGTTTTGTCTGTGCATACTTGCACATTATCGCAAAAACCTACTTGGAGCCCAAAATGTTTTATTTAGTCTAGTGGTTTACTTCTGCTTTAAGGGCTTGTTCACACCAATTCCAGTGCGTTCCAGCACAGTTGGCATACTGTCCGCCTCCCTGCATTCTGGGGTGGGATTGGGGGCGTGGCGGTGCATTCAATCAATGGTACTGCAGCCATGCCCCCCCCCCGGCCGCAGTGTGATCTCCCGCACCAGAACGCATGGCACAGCAATGCCTGTGTTCTGGTCCAGTGCAATTGCAAAAAATAGTATAAGCACTATGCGATCCAATGCGTTCCCGCAGCTTGCGCACTGGATTTGGTGTGAACGTGCCCTAAGTGTAGAAGCACACACTCCAAATGTGTGGGATTTAATCACTGATACATATTGCTTAAATAGCTAACACTATAGGTAGGCACTTGTTCTATCTGTCTAGTAAGATTGCATTTCTTAAATCATCTGCATGCTCCTGCAAGGATATGTCCAGGCAATACCCAAAGTTACCCCCAAGCCTCCCTCTCCAGGTCATGTCCCAGCATTTATTTTTTTCTCTTAATTTTTTCCTGTAATGAAACCCGCTTTAATTACTCTGTAACATCATCCCTAGGCTTGTCAGATTCTTGATGGGGCAGCTGCTGGAAGCTCCGTTCCGGTTGATGTAGGCACATCCCCAGATCTGTCTCCCAAGAGGCTTTTTCCTACATACAGTATGTGGGCAAGCTCTTGGAAGCTAAGGCAGTAGCAGCATTGTTTTGCCGAGGAAGAACTCAATGTATGCCTGTAGAGAGAGACCGGGATGGGTGGAATTCCGCAGTACACCAGGGCTGACAACACTGGTTGGAATTTCAGATCAGCAGCGATGCTGTGTTGTCAATGTTGTGGAGAAGACATAATGGAAAGACATAGGGGTATTGCAGAGATTTACTGATTTTTTAATTTTTTTTTCTCCGATAAACACTTTACATCATCCAGTGCAGCAGTGCTGAAACCTGATGCCCTCCGCATCCTGGATTTATATGTGTAGACATTTGTTCAATTTACTATGGAGTTTATTCCTTGTTGACCCTCCCTTCTCGTTTGCTCCTACACAGGCTTCTTTCAGGAAGGAGTTTCCACAGAACATCGGCGGGAGTGATGTCTGCTACTTCTGCCACCGCCGAGTGTATGTGATGGAGCGCCTGAGTGCCGAAGGCAAATTCTTTCACCGCAGCTGCTTCAAATGTGACTACTGCAACACCACCTTGCGCCTGTCTGCCTACGCCTATGACCTGGAGGACGGTGAGGATGGAGGCATAGAGTTTTTCTTTATTACAGGCTGTCCTTAGATAGTATGTTCCCCAAAACTTATTTCAGTTCAGTTTTGGATGGGCATGGGCAAGTTGAATCCCACACAGTAGTTTGTGCCCCCGCCCCTCCCACAAAGAGGCATTTATTGAAGGTTATACACTGTAGCTGGTGCCCCGGTTTTTTGTTCATCTTTACATAAAATACAATTATATAAATAAGAAAAGCTAATAAATTGCATAAACCGTTCTGAGAACCAGTCATTGCAATTGGTGAAGTCCATTAACATCTTGTCGACTGCATTCTGCTGTGCTTTAACTACAAATCCCAACATGCCCTGATCCTCTGAGAATCATGCCTGTAACTTTCAGTCTTGCCATGCCTCATGGGACTTGCAGTTCCACAACAGCAAGAGGACCACCCCTGCTCTCGATTAACATTTTTAGGCATGGTTCCCCATGCTGACCGAACATTTAACCTGTGAGCACTCCTAGTACAGAATCCTCGTCCCCGCCACGGACAGCTGCTGGTCCATAGGATTATCCTGACAACGAATCATTAATCACATGAAGATCACATGGTTTGTTTACGAACAAACCCGCCCTCCTTTCTGTGCACAGAGGGAGAGGCAAGGCCGCAGCTAACTTTGTGGATTACTGTGTGGGGAAAAAAAAAGATTAAAAAAAAAGTGTAACATAACCAAAAACATTTTTGAAGAAGAAAATATCATTAAGTTAACCATCGAAATTGGTGCTGCTTAATTTGGTCTGGGCAATTACCTTATAAAGGGGCTAAACCCAGTACCTTCCTAGTGCAGAAATTGTTTGATTGGTCATGGGTCGAAGCCCTGAGGGGTTGGTCCTAGCTGGCGCCTAAAATTCCTAGGTATGAAATGCTCAGGTCTTGGTTTCTCAAGTGGCCAACCAAGACCTGGACCCTCATAACTACAAGTATAGATGGGGTGCAGCTGGCTATAACACAATATAGGAGAGCTCGTTCCCTCTGCTGGCCTTTACATGGTTCTGCTGGATTTATAATCGTAAGGTTCCAAGCTTTGGCCACCAAGGGTGACTCTGTGGTTGGCATTTGGCCCTCTGAACTAATGCCCTTGACTGGCCAAGTATTGGTCTTTAGGACCATGACCTAACTGACTATGGTAACTGACCTGGCCATGTTTTATGGACATGAGGCTAGGGGGAAGTGTTCTGTATTCTTAATGTAGAGTGACAACTCTGCTCCTCCATAGATACAGTCCAGTGAGCGAGCGTTGTTACCCTAGGTCTAGGAACCTAATGTAGCCACCACATCTAAGGACTGGGAGGCTGCATAATATGACATTTTTCTTCATGGGTTTAGATACACTTTAGATATTATACACATTCAGTGTGCTGTCAACGTGTTAGATCGGGCTGCAATGGATTCTACATTTGCACAATAACTATGTTTCCTTTTTAGCAGTTCAGTCATTGATTTTACTTGTCCCTTCATGTTGTCTTTTGAGGAATGACTGCATACACATAGTCTACCTCGTCTTAATCTAAATTCATACTGGCAGCTTAGCTTGCTCCCACCCACCCTGACCCTGCTGTCTGTGTATGACAGAGCTGTGATGGACGCAGAATGGGCATTTTGGTGGTGCCAGGGTTAAAGCCTGGTGTTCCTCCTCCGTTCCTATAGCGCTGGATGTGACATTGAGCATCTTTTGTCCCTCTCACACACTGTCACATTGTTACTGGCAGACCTTTGCCTGCTGTTCCCCGCACCCGACCCCACAGCTCACAGCGCATTGTCACCAGCTGACTGGCCGCTTCAAAACGTTGTGTCTGCACAAATGCATTTTATTGCTCAGAGCTTAATTTATACTTCTTTTTGTAGGGAAATTTTACTGCAAACCGCACTACTGCTACCGGCGCTCTGGGTACAGCCAGCGGAAGAGAGCAGCGGAACCCGCACTTACAAACAAGGTGAGCACAGCGTGACAGAGGTCTCGTCCTGTGTGTCTGTATTCCAGTGCCAGGATTCCGTGCTTTCTTGTACTTCCAGGTTCTGTCATTCCAGGAATATAACTTGGATAACCTAATTTATTGCATGACAGTGAGAGATAACTCGGCAAAACAGTTCTTTGTTTTTATGTTGCCTTTTATAATAATTTTTGAGGGTTTTTGTGAAGATGGGTGAACTGTGCTGGATGGAGGGTGGTAAATTAGAACCTTTGTTGGATTTGTTTTTTCTGTATCTCCCAACTGGCACAAGGCCACTTCCTGCCCTTGTGCCAGTTGGTCAGCAGAACAGGAAGGGAGGAAATCCCTCTCTTCGGTCATTTGGCTAAAAGGTTGCACAGTCTAGATGGCATGGCCTCTGGATTCTGGGAGATTTGTGGATGCTTTACATCATGAAAGAATGCAGGGCGTCTTATTGTGTACTTGTACTGCTTGGCAAACTTGCACTGAGCGGAAAAGGATTTAAAGCCCTGTCAGCCATATTGGGGAGATTTCCCTTCACTTCTGTCCCAGATACAAAGCATCTGGGAATAGATCTTTCCAAAGTGAGGGGAACTTTCTTCTTAAGAGTCGCCTCTAGCACAGATGTCCTTCCTGCAGCTCATCTTTCCCCCATTAATGACTTACAATGTCTACCTCTGCTCTTTGTGTGGAAGTGGCCATCTTGATAGAGGAGAGGGGCTTTGCTGATTCATGTCTGCCCCCAAAGACTGGTGGGGGGTGGGGGGGTTAATGTAGAGACAGCTGGAGAGGTGGAGGAAGCACAGAGCCACAGAATGAAAGAAACAGAAGCATAGAGATCCTTGCACTTCAGGTCCTCAGGTACAGCTCCCTCTCCAGCAAGAACAATGAACAGGACAGTTGTGAGACTAGCAGTCACAGGCAGCAGTGCCTTAAGGTCCCCACACACACCTTACGATAATCGTACGACAATCGCGGGAAATCCCGCGGTCGTACGATTATCGTAAGGTGTGTGGAAGCAGTGCGACCTCTACTACTGTAAGGTCGCACGACTTTTAACTTACGGACATGTTTGAAAACCCGCCGAGCATCGTACGATGTTCGGCGGGTTTGTGGCATGTCCGTACGATAAAAGCCGTACGGGCCGGTGTGCGCAAGCGCACACTGCCCGTTCGGCATTGCGGTCATCGGAAGCCCGCCCCTCGGGGCGTGGCTTGCGATCATCGCAAGTACGATCTGCCTATGCAAGATAGGCAGATCGTACGTTTTTTTAAGTACCTTACAACCATCGCAAGACAAAAGTCTTGCGATGGTTGTAAGGTGTGTGCCCAGCCTTAGACGATTTCACACTGCAGATATATAGCTATGAAGCTACTCAACAGCAGTGCCTAGACCCAGGAAATTAAAGACAAAAAGTAAAAATTTAAAGGTACTGCTGCTTAGGCACCACTAACATTTCTAGATGTTCACTATAACGGAGCATATCTTCGCTTTTTATGTTCAGTTCCACTTTAAGGTACCCACAGACCTAATATGATCACGGCCTTGTCATATTGGTCATCAGCTAATAGTGATCAAACCAGGAGACAGTTATACATCTATGGGCTCTCCTGGGTTAATCTCATGGGACAAATCAATTATCCAGTATGCCTTTTCTATTCCTTTCTCTACTACTCCTCCAACCGGCCCTGGGATTTCCTTTACAGCCCATGAAGCATGGCTTGCAGCTGTATAAAACTGGCCATATATGGTTTTTTGAATTCACCAAAACTATATAGTTGGGAGGTGAATGGATTATAAACAGTTAAACCACCTGTATCCAATCGGGTAGGCCCTCACACTACATAGATCTAAGGAGATTGTATAAACCAATTCAAACTTTTACTGCCAGCTTACAGGAGATTTCACTGTCCGATTTATAAAATCTATTTCAGCTTAATTTTACTATGATGGTCATTTTTTCTTTTTCCGGCCCCGCAGGAAATAAAAGGAACTGCAAAAGACACCCCGGATGCTGAAGAGCCTGGACGAGGCGCTGTCTCCCCCGTGTCCTCTCTGGAGAAGACCCCAGGTACCCGCCCCTCCTTCCTGCGGCGTGCAATGAGCCTGTGTAACCTGGCGCGACGGCTGCCGAGTGTAGCGTCCTCCGTAAAACGCTTGATCACCCAAGACCCGCTGGACTGTTTTTTCATGTGTCAGCTGACGGCGTTTGGTCTTCCCTTCCTTTATGTCCAGTCTGAGATCCTATTGCAGATTCTGGGGGAGTTCCCCTGGTCCTCCACCGCCTGAGATCCAAGAGAGCCTACCTAATCTGTGGATGTATGTGATATTATAGTGTGTACGCTGGCCCCTCGTAGTGTAAAGCCCGCTCTGTGACGTAGACTAGCCTGCATAGAATTTGTGCTATCTTGCTTTGTTGTGCTCGTCATGCAAAACATCTCTCTGGTACGTTAAAGGGAACCAGTAATTTAATCAGAGCGGAAATTACCATTTTGTAAGCTGTAGTATGGCTGAGAATGCAGCCAATCTGTTCCCGTAAAGACTGTCAGGTCAGGATGTAATGACAGTTGTCTGCACACATTCAATCTCCCCCCAGAGATGTAAATGTATTAAGCCATGCTCCCTCGCCTTCCTGCTGCGATCTAAGCTCTGGTGTCGGAGCTTAGACGGAGTAATGTCACAGGCCTCCCACGTGACAGTGTTCAAGCCTCTCGATTGGCTGCTCAGACACTAGCACTATCACATGCTGGAAGTCATGTGCTTCCCGTTTACCTAAAAGCTCTCATTTGTTAGCAAGGGCTCCAGCTCAGGAGTTCAGGGAGATGGCATTGGCTGTGTAAGTGCTTGGGGGGAGATTAATTTATTTGCAGAAATTTTCACTTATCCTTGACTCAACAAAGTGACGGCACAGTAGCCGTCCTTCTTCCAGAAAACACAAAATGGCCACTGGTTTGTTCTGCCAAAACAAAATTCCACTCCAGCCTCTGGCAGAGGGAGACTCTCCAAGCAGAACAGACACTGTAGCAGTCATACAGACAGAAACACTTAACAATCCCGAAATCTGGCATGATGGAGTCGCGGGGGGCGTTTGGAGGGAATGCAGCATTGCTTATTCCCGGTCCAATCTCTCTGCAAAATGATCATAGTGTATAAATTGCATTTCACTTTTTGTTTGCTGGTTCCAAAACTAGCTAAATATTCCTTACAGGAGTACGACGTAGTGAAATATGATTTATCGTTGGCTGCTTGCTTTTATTTTATTTTTTAACCTGTAAGAATGTTTTTACTTTGCGTTTTAGAGCCTTTGCCGTTGTGGATGCCGCAGTCACGTTTGATCTGTAACAGACATGTGACGGAGTCCATGCATTGAACACTACGTAGTGTTATTTTTAGTTGATACTTTTATTTTGGGTCATTTTAATGCTGGATCTTTTCTTTTCTTTTTTTCTTTGTTTTGTACGATGAGTTTCATTTGCAACAGTGTTAAAAAATTAACAAAGCACTGACCGTTTTTGTACTTAATACATTGGAAAAAGCAGAGTAAGGATCTGTGTAGACTGCACTTAGGCTTAGAAATATGTCGGCCATTCTAGGTGGCGGCTCTGAGCCTGCACTGACCACGAAAATGAGTCTCGAAATGTCTTCTATGTGGTGAAGAAATTGAAAATGTCATAATTGTTGGACTGCAGTAAAAAAAGACCCATTGACAAAATAACTCCTGTTTCATTAGGTCTGTACAGGCTCTTGAAATATTCTTCTTTTTCCCCAATGTGATCTATGTAGACACTGATTGCTGCCATAGAATGACTTTAGACAGGAAGGGTCTGCTCTGTTTCCCTTCAACTACCAGATTCCAACCTGCCCTGAAAATCTGAATCTGATTGGTGACTGGGGGCCAATAATGCTATTTAAGCGGGCCATATGTGAATGGGGTCCAGTTCTTTATGAACCGGCCAAAATTCACACAGCGGGTGCCGCTGTCAGCACCCTTTCAGGTGGCATCCCTCGATCAGCTGGTTGAGGGAGCTGGTTGGAAAATCTTTGAACAAACAGACGGCGATCAGCTGCCGGCTCTGTTCAGGTGCCTGCGGATGCCGTCAGAATACATTGAAGACAACTGGAGAGTCCTCGATCAATGCTTGTAAGCATTGATGGAGGAATCGTTTTTCCTTTTCTTTGCCAGCACGCAGGTTGAACAAAGAAAATATTAGTGTATGGGCAGCTTTAGTACTGGCTCTTTGATAAGACAGTCTGATGGGGTTCTGTGTCACCGTAAACCCTCTGGGGCAGTCAGTAATATTTAGTTGTCATCAGTTTCAACAAGAAAAATTCACACACTTAACTTGGAGTGTTTGGATACTTCAAGATCCTGTACAGGTAAAATGGTACACATTTTTTACAATTTGCAGGGTTTGTGTTTTCCCTGTCATGTTAAGAGTGGATCAATGGTTTAATATTTAATGGATAAGCACTTGGTGAGCAAATCGGCCACCCATGTTGAGCATGGGTGACACTGACCACGGCAGCTGCATATTGATGACAGTATGGTCATGTACGCAGTCTATCCGGCTGCCTTCACTGCATATTGGTGACACTGTGGCCGTATACACTGCATCTATGTGACAGAGCCATATTATTGATGTAAGGTTGTCTTTTCAGGGCGTGAAAGTGTTATTTGTTTTCAGTAGGGATGTTTTTAAGGGCGATTTTCTATGCTTGAGGGGCGCGGAGTGCGCTAGATGGTGATTTGCTGTATTTTCTCACACTGAGCACTTTGAATTGGAATAAGTATTTTATTATATTTGGGTGTTTTTTTTTCTTTGTGGATTGTGGTGTTTGCACTATTGTATTGCTGCTAAAGATGGCTGATGTTTTGTCTGAGCTGCTATCGCTGTTTCCAATATGAGGTCGGGGTTTAAAACATTTTATGCGGCAAAGCAAGTAGACAAACGGAGCCATCGTATCTTCTTTCTGGCTGGAACTCTACCGTGTGGTACATAACACTGTTTGCTTAATTAGTATACCTGGAATTAAAGTGGTGCTTTCATAAGGCAGCCATGGCTGAAGGGCTGTCCAGGGAATGCAGCTCGTCCGTTTACACCTCTCCTGTGTCACTTGTTTCTAGAGAAGGCCATCTCGGCGCTCCAGCTGTTGTAGAAACTAAAGTCCCATAAGGCATTACAAGACTCTGGCAGCCACAGGCATGGCTTCCCGAGGCAAAGCAATGAAGGGATTTGTAGTTTCTTCATAGATGGAGTGCCAAGGTTGCCTAACCATGTTCGAGATCAGTGATCGCCAAACGTTGGCCCTCAGCTGTGATAAAACTACAAATTACATAAGACAATGCAAGACTCTGACAGCCACAGGCATGGCTCCCATAGACTTGATAGGATTTGTAGTTTCACCACAGCTGGAGGGCTGAAGTTTGGCTACCCCTGTTTGAGGCTTCGTACGTTACTGTAACTTCCTTCCCAAACTTCGAGAACAAGTGTCTTCCATTGTGGTAAGGTTGACAGGTGCACTTTAAGTAGAGGGCTTTTATGGTTATTTAATCATTTAGAGTAGAAAAAGCTGCGCTTTGCGTCAGATGTTGTAGTCTGTTATGTGTGGCGCTGGAAGCCATCTTGTAAGATCGGATCGCCTGGTTCCCATTTACTGGTGTGACTTGGTAGCGTTGTGTAGCAATAATAACTAAACCCTCTTTGCTGCGTCGTTCAGGTACTTTGTTGTATTGGCTGTGAGGGTAGAATTGATCCTTATCGGGTGTCAATAATCAGAAATGTTCATGGTCATATTACCTATATACATCATAATCACCTACACTGTGCGCTCTTTGTGAGACGGCGGCCCGCCTGCAGCATTGGTTTGTAGGGATTTGTCGGTAGCTGCGCTCCTGTCTAGGTCGGTGCACGGCCGGCGGTCACGCTTTATATATGTGGCTGCTGTCACTTTCTGTTCAATGTTTTTCTGCAGCAGCAGCGTCCTCACTTCTTTCTATCTGTTATGTTGGTATAGTTTTATTTTGTTGTGTTCCTTTTGTCTGATGTATTCTGCCCTTCCCTAAAAAAAAAAAACACACATCAAGGTGGAGTGTTCACTGAAGGGGCCCCGAGCCCAACACACAGCAAACACCCAATACTACACCCAATCCCCACATCTTTATATGTCAGTGTTCACAATTCACAATGTATATGTATCTCCTTGTAATCTGCAATTTCATCAGCCATATGACATGTGAAGGGAGGCTGCCTGTAGTTTCCTTGCATATATCCGCCAGGAAGTCGGCTGTGTGCTGGAAAAGTACTGGACTTCCTGTTTTGAAGCCTTTTTTTTTTTAGCTATATCTGTAATGATGAATGGCTGCTCTCATAGTGGTAACTTTTTGTGGAGATCAGCTAATAGTCATTAAAGAGGAACTCCAGGAATTTAAAGTGTTAACCCGTGCAGTGGGGCTACCCATGCACTGCGAGGGTTACCGGCTCGTTTTGTCTAGGGAGCGAAAATAAAGAAGAAATACTCACCCGATCTTCAGTCCTGCCAGACTGCTAGATTAGTCCCTGCAGCCTCTTCTCCCCAGGGTTTCAGCGGTCTAAGGGTCCGTCGTCCATCACATCTAACAGTGTATTAGACCTGAAACCTCCCAAGAGACGTACCACAGCCAGAGTGGAGGGGGAGAGAGGTGAGCTGTCACTGCTGCAGGACTGAGGATCAGGTGACTAAATCTTCTTTATTGTTGCCCCTAGAGAAAATCAAGCAGCTAACCCTTGCGGTCAGGGGGTAGCCCCGCTGCAATGGTTAACTTTTTAAATTCTTGGAGATCATCTTTAATTAAAAAAAATGCCAACCAAAACGTATATGGTTTACGATGGAATAGGGAGAGGCTGTCAAAGTTTTAATTTTGTCGGAGTTTCCCCTTCCCTCTCTGTGATCGTGAGCAGGAAGTGTGAGGCTATAAAAAACTGACAGAGGCTCAGACACCTTCCTCGCTCCATCTGGAGCTGATTACGTTTTGTCTAGAGTTGGGCCATAAAGTTAGATGTGAGCCGGCCTTGATGACTCCATTTTTACATTGAGAAGCTGAAGTGAGGTTTGCCCCATTAGTCATATATTATGTCATACGTGTCTGACCCTGGCAGGCAGCGTCCACGTGTATGGTATGTACACCAGACATTGAGGAGCCCTTGATAAGTGTCATCTTCCTGTCACTGTGTCCCCTTGCTCCGGTTTCCCGGTCTCTTCCTCTCTTTCTTGTTTTCTCTGTCATACTCTGTAATGGTTTGTTTGCTTCTTTCACTGTTGCACTTTTTTATGTTAATAAATTGACTTTTTTCATTTTTTTCATGCCTTGTGACTTATTTTTTTTAATTTTAAGCATTGGTGTGGATGTCACACAGAGTGTTGTGTCTGGTCCGGTGCAGACGGGCGTTTGCTGAAATTGGCACACTGACCCGAAGAGCGCCGCGTTTGCAAAACAGCTTTCCCGAAGCCCTAATCTTAATGGAAACTTTGCTGAGAAAATATGCCATTCCTGCCCTTTCCCCTCTGTAAATTCTGGCTTAATTTTCAGGAGAGGTCAGAACTGATGTCCTGTGAGGTCCTCTCAATGGGGTTTCCATTAATTCGTCCTTCTCGAATAGTCTGGAAGCTTGCAAAACGATGCGGTCTGTAGTGATGCTCAACCAATGCCTGTGTGTGTACAGGGCTGTAATTCTCGTATAATACATGTAGTCCGCAACCCTTCAATTTCCTTAAGTCTGGGCATCATTTGATATAAAAGATAGATATTGGGTACCTAGGCTACCTATTTAAAACAAAAGTAATTCTATTATCGTTCCACCATCGGCCGCACTGCAGAAATCAGAAAACGGAGATTCTGCCCTGTGAGCTAATCAGGCTCTATGGCCTTGCACAGTGCAATATCAAAGACATACAGACATTTCAGTCACTTGGACTATTGGGTTTGGGAGGGCACAGAGGACAGGAGGTGTGACCGTTCCCATACAAAGTCCAGTGAGCAGCTCAGAAACTGCAGAGCTGTGTTCTGAATAGCAGAGTCTTCCTCTTCCTATGTAGTATGGGTCACGAGGTTGGCTGGACAGAACTGAACCATTCTAAGGGGTTTCAACAATAACTTGCGACTGGACAGATTAAATCTGAACTCGTCCTTCCCTTCAGTCTTGCACAGTTGCACCGGCTCCTCTCTTGGACTGAAATTGCTTCCTCTGATTTTACTGCACACTGTGAGCTTCTCATAATGTGCACTAGAAGCTACAGCAAGTCGGATAGCGCCCGTCTCATTTTCTGGCTGGAGGGCGTCCGGCATCATATAGCACTTGTCCCTAGGCCCGCACCTTTCATTTATTGGATTTCAGTTCCTCAAATCATGGAGGGTCAGCATCACACGTGGGCCTTGCTTAGGGTGTAACAGAAATGTCACCAGCTCTCCAAACTCCTTAAAGGATAATCAATCATGGATTTACTAAGAACTCGTGTCAATTACACAAGTGCTTTCGGGGCCATGCAGGGTCCCTTCATCAAGCATAGCTATGCATGGCCCCGAAAGCCCTTGAGTAATTGACACGACTAAAAAATCCACGCTTGATGATCCTTTAAGGAGTTTGGTGTGCTGGTGACGTTTCTAATACGATTGAACTGGCTGCACCATCCACAGTCATTCCAAGCACCCTTCCCTGACTCCGGGGATTTTTCCGGTAAGGAGTGCAACAAGCCTTCTTTATCTTACCTTTCTTAGAGTGGTCTGCATGCAAATACAGTCTGCCTAGGAACCCCCACTTCACCTTAGAGACATACACCCCATGGGAAGTTTTTCCAACAAGGACACAGACACAAAAAGCAAAAACACAGTCTGAAAGAGCAGAACTTCAACAATGTTTCTATTGCTATCTATTACTCCCTCTCCCTGTCACAGTGACAACCACTCTGCCATTTCGTGTATGGTTGTCACAGGGACAGGAAAAGAGGGAAGATCTCCAAAACGGGGATCATAGACCGATATAACTCACCCCCTCTCTATCCGAAACATGGGAGAATAAAAAAAGCTTGTAGTGTAGATTCTAGTCTGAGCATTTTTCTCTAGTTTTTTTTTGGGGGGGAATGAGAGGTTTTGGAACCCATGTCAGGATTTTACTGGGTGTAGAAGACTTCTGCCAGGATAATAAAACTGAAGCCACTGAGCGTGAAGGCTGGGGTTGAGTTTTTGACTTGGAGCATACATATACCGTCATGTGCTCCACATAATATATACATCCATATGCTGTTCTTGTGCTCTCAGCTTGCAGTAGAGCTGGGTAGTAAACACTTAATCCTCAGGCCATACAAATGGATGGGCCACACAAGTGTGTTCATACCCTTCCTGTGTGACACCCGCCATGGATCAGAATGGCTCCTAGGTACTCGAATAATACATCATAACAGCAAAAAGAGCAGCTTAAACCCAACTCCAGACTAAAAAATGGAGCTGGCTCAACGGTTTGTCCAAAATACAAGCTATGTTTTTTTAAATCTCTTGTCCCAAAATTCAACATCCCCGCCTGTTCTAAACCCCTCACTATAGATGGAACTGTCATATACAATATCACTTCCTAAATGATGTTCTTATCTGAGTGTCTATGAGCAAGAGGCCATGTTTAAAGGGATTAATGAAGTCCTTTCCAATAAAGCTCAATAGCATCTTGGCAATCTGTATAAAAAGGTTCCCGAGGTATTGAAGAACCGCAATGGAGGCTTGCATCTGTGTTTTATACATAGTCTACACTGCAGGAAAATAATTGCTCACACATAACATTGCATATGACCTTTAAATATTTACTAGAACTTTACAGCCAGCAGTTACTTGAAGGCTGTGATAAGTGTTTCTGCTGTGAAATTGGACCTGAGCGGTAGCAGAGATCAGACTACACAGACTGCAGAGTAAGTCAGGATCAGTCATTTGTACATTGGCTATGAACTAGAATGCTGTACAAGAATTAACACAAATCATTCAAGAATGCTACAAAATATGAGTTTATAAACTTTAATAATTAGAGTGGATCAAAACTTGTAAATGGTTAGCTTTTGGCTTATGTACTTTTACATGCAATGAAAGTGTATCTAAAGTGAACATTTTGGGGTTTTTTTAGAATAGGGGAACACCCTGTTTGGGTTTTTTCCCCCATTAGTGTTGGATGGAATGGTTAGAACTCCCGTCATGTTTTTATGTTTGCTAGCTATTAGTTGTCTTTCACTTCCTGCCCCAGAGCCACAACAGGAAGCAAGTTAAAAGCCATCTGTCACTAGAACAGGTGTCCCCATGGGAAGATTCCCCTCAGCACCTGTTCTGCTGACAACTGTAACATTTAGGATGCCCCATCACTTCCTGCCTGTTGACAAATAGTGTGATTCCCCCCAGTGGGGACACAGTTTCTCATTCCATCCAAAACTTTTTTTTAATTTGGCTTTCGATACACGTATTACTCAACAAATTTGCATTTGACTGTTAAAATGTTTCCTATACAACAGTTTCAATAAAATGAACGTGCTTTCACGTACAGCGCAGGTACACCCATACATAGGCATGTGATGTCATTATGGGTGCGTGCTGCGCCATTTATTTACGTTTTAGTTTAGTGCACCGCACCTTAGGATTTAGCTGGAGCAGAAAGCAAAGATGTGAAACCAAAAGCAATATCCCTTTAGCAACCAACCAGATCACAGCATCTTGCAATCATATTCAGTTCAGATTTTGGTGAGGTCCTACACATTGCACATGTCCCTTTATTAAATGAACCTACAAGTTGTATTTATTTATTTTTAAATGTGGTCACTGAACATTTGGAGTATCTTCATTTATCCATCAGTGTAAAGAAATGCTTTGAACCAGTAGTCCTGGTATTTATTAACAAGAATTTTAACTCCTATGACTCCAAATTTGGAGAAATTCACATTGGCTGAATATTTACCAATCTGTGGCTCTGAGAATTTCTTGTCCATAGAGCTTGCTCTCCAATGCTCCAGCCGCTCACCCGTTGCTCTCACCGTGTGTTTGCAGGTCCGAGCCTGAACGGCGTTGAAGATCACAGTCTGGCCAAGAGGCTCCGAGCCACTCCGGAGCGTATTGAGCTGGAGAATTATCGGGTGTCCATGCAGAAGGAGGACCTGGAGGAGGTCCCAGAGGAGACCCTGGCAGAGCACAATCTGAGCAGCCTGCTGGATAAGGATAGAGAGGACGAGGAGGAAGCCGCCAGCAGGTAAGGAGGGGGTGAGGTAGTGATTGTGAGGGGTCTTTCCTCAGCTGACATCTGGTTTAATTGTTATGCATTTCAGTGAACATCAGTTAAATCAAGGTCTGATTTATTAAATCTCTGAGATTTCAGTGTTTGTAGCTTTCACACAGTAGCTGGTGTCATCTGCCCGTCCCAAAAAGTGCCCCCAATGATTTGTCCATTCTACATTCTAGCAAAGTGTGACCCCATCACTTGGCTTTGCAATGACCACAGCAACCAGAACTGGGTATACTGGTGGGGTTGTTTCACCAATGGATTCCCCAAGTGATGCAAGAAGTCACCATGTGGATGACCTTTGCTTATAATTCATATATGTAGCAATCTTCCCATAACCACCATGGTTGCATTTGATGAGTGCAATGAGTTCAGAGCTGCAATGGAAATTAATTTTCTTGCAGCATGTGGAATGTGCCGGAGAATATTAACAGAATTTGGGCATCCAAAGGTTTAATAAACATTGTCGTCTCCCCAAAACTATTCCCTATAATAGAAGAGGTAGAATTCCAGCAGTCCATGTCTTCTATCTGCTCTCCATTAAAGTGTTACAGCCTACAACAGAATCTTCAAAATTCAACACTTTTGGGATTGTTGGATTCCAAAGACACTGACTGTGCACTGGTGTCATCCTCCAACCCCAACGTCACTACAAGACTCAGTAGTGATTTAGGAGTCAGCAAAAGGAATCATGGCATGCAGCAAGGGACGCAGGGGTCCAACACTCCCTGAAATGTTTAACTCTGGAGATCCTAACAGACTGTAGCATTGCAGTGGGGAGAAGGAGCTATACCTCTTCTATTACATTAAACTACATTGGCACATTTTTGGGAGCGATGATAGTTTCACTTTAAGGAAGAAATACTTCCCTTTGAAAGCTGCGTTAACGTGTCCTGTGCGTCTCATCTGCATTTGTTGTCTTTGCTTAGCAGCTCCGAGTCTGAGATGGAGGAAGATGAAGAACACCAGCCCCCCTCCGACCTTGGGGGAGTACCATGGAAGGAGGCGGTGAAGATTCATGCCAAGCTGAAGGGGAAGAATGTGGGGGAGGTGGAGGCAGAGGGAGCGCTGGAGGCCGGAGATAGCGAAGAAGAGGAGGAGGATGAGGAGTCTGAGGAAGAGGAGGAGGAGCCATCCAGTGAAGGTTGGTTACACATTTTAGTACAATGTACCCTAACACATATTAAAGCGGACCAGATACACAGTATATACACACACAGTAGAAATAATCTTTAGAATATTCTGGAAAAAAATTATCCGTTTGCTATGTATTAGGAACATAACAGAGGCAGGACCACTTTGTGTCTCATCCCTTGTGAAAGTAGCAGCTGCTGGATTTTGGAGATGCAGAAATCGAACAATTTTTTTTAAATATTATATTTTTTTCCTTACAGGAGTCTGAAACTCTGGGCCAGTTTCGTTAAATTATAAAGTGACAAATTGTTTTAATTACCCTCCCCCCCCCCATACTCCACTGATCCATGTTTTAATTCCCCCCCCCCCCCCCCATACTCCACTGATACCTTCACTGCATTCCCCTACACTCCATGTGTCTGTTGGAGCCCTTGGAATTACCAGGTACTTCTAGGTATGGAGGAACATGTGATCCTTTCACTTTCCTTCCAGTGGAGTGCTCAGGACTACTGGCCACTCATCAGACTCGATCACTTTCATATTGTTAATCCTCTGTAAGCTACAACACAAAACAAATCCCGAGCTTACAAAATAATTAAATTCAGTCCTCCAACAGGCTAATGGGATGGCAGGGGAGCAAAGGTCTGGTAAGCTTTGGTCGATGGGGAGGAGGACTGTTAAGTCAACATGTAGCCTTGGCCAGTATATGCAATGGGACAAGTTCCTTTTACCATTGATGTTGGGTCCGCTTTCATCTCCCCGTGGGATACTAGAAGGGAAGTGTATGGCCAATAATGTCCGCAAAACCTTTCCTGTTATCAGGTCCCTGGGCTCACCCGTTCTGGGTCACATGTATTAAAGCCGAAGTCTTGGGTTGCGTGACCAGCAGCTCTGTAATTGGCTTCCAGCTTTAGCAAAGTATTTGATGCCACAACTGCAGAACAATTGACCCAGAAGCAAAGCGTGGTTTTTAGAGCGGGCATATAAGTTCCCTATTCTACCTCCCTAATAGCGGAGGGATTAAAGCAGGCCCAAAATGAATTTTGCCCTAAAGTAAATCTCTTCTCATTATAAAGCTTCTTATACTATCAATGTGAGATATACAAATGAAGATGTATTCTTGACAATGGATATAAAAGACCTTGGTCCATGGGTCATCCGAATGTTTTCCCTGATGGAGTGGAGTGCAAAGATATTTTATTATCATCTCTTCCTTTACATTCAAGCTTCAGTCTCATTTCTTCTCTCTCTCTCTTTGTCTCATTGTCTCTGGGGCCGGGTGGGGTGTTTTCCTGGCGCCCTCTTGTGCAGAGGGCGACTATTGCCCCTGGGAGAGGGAGCTCCAGCATGGTCTCTGGCTCCACCGTATAACTGATGAAGACACAGTTGGTACTTTTAAAGGTATAGCGGCCACCACTTTATGCTCCACCAACAAGAAAAATTTACAGGGAGATAGTTCTTACACCACTGAAACTGATTCCGCCACACCAGTTTAAGTAGTACATTTTGTTTTATTTGCAGGGGCACTTTTTATAGAAAAAAAAGGAAGACTATTGGAGAAGTTTAGTATTAATTTTGCCCTTGGAGAATTGTATTGGGTTGCGTGTTACAGGGAATCAGAACTTTAACACACAAGCATGTCTCAATGGAAGCCGATCTTTCAGTGGTGTGGGACCTGTCAGAGAAATGCATGAATTGTTGGTGCTGGATTTCATTTTTCCTGCATGGGCTGATTCCAGAGCAAGCTCACAAATCCTTTACCGCAAGGAAGTATTTTGCCTTTTTGTTTTAATTTTAAAACTCCTGAACTTTTCCGAATATAATAAATGCAGAGACCAGGGCAGCCTCCCAAATATACACCTGGGGAGGGATTCTCATGCATGATGTAATCTGTGGCTTTGCCTTTTTTTTTGGTTTTACTTAACTCTTGACATTACTAAAGGTGCAATCAGACGTGAGGCTTTTTGGGGTTTCCTTGATCCATTACATCTACACACCGGATGCAACTTGAACAGATGCACTGCAGCCAGACAGCGAAAATAAACAGATGACATTATATATACACTGTGTGTGTGTGTGTGTGTGTATATATGTATGTATATATAGATATATATCTATATATATATATTTTGTATGTCGCTACAACAGATAATGGTGCTATGCTAATGACTACATAACTACAGTAAGGACCTGTGTACCTGGGCGCTGTTTACATGCTTTTAACCTTGAGTTGAAACATGTTGAGCCTAGGCCTGGAGATTCCAGTTTAGCCCTAGGTACTGTAGGGATGACCATTCTGAGACTCCGTTTGACCTGCTTTGCATTATTTTGCATTGCATGCAGGATCAGATCAGGGAGCCCAGGCATTGTGCAATTGGACTGAGAGTTGGGCACTTTGGGAATATTTGGGCCTTTTAAATCACATATAAAGTTCAGAAATAGGGGTGGTGGCATGCTGGACTCAAAGTTTGGCCATAGTCCCAACTATATGGAATGATTTGAATAGTGTGGCCACTCTCTGATGCCTGTTAGAGCCCCCATGGGGTTCTTGGGAGAATGAATATGATAAATGATGGACCCTTTATTATGCAAAATAAAATTTGGTATCTGTACCAATCCCTACGGCTTTGCACTCCTTTCGCTCCATATACAGTATGTGAGGTTACAGTTTGCAAGAAGGCTTTGCCCCTTTCAGAAGCTAAAATTTAGGGACCATCATGCCTATGGCTCCAGTTTGAGCTCTACCGTCCCCCCATCTTTTCCCATTACTGTATGTTGCTCGTGTGGTAGTTGTGAATGGGATTTGGAAAAGCAAACTGTCTGTATTGCACCTTTTTTTTTAAATTTTGCAACAGATGAGTAGCCGAATATTTGCAGAACAATCCTCTGATGACAAGCTGCATAGTTTGAACAGATATCAGGCCGTCACATGATTGGCTGGTCTTGTATGAGGCAAGGTATTGGTCAATTTGCACCTTGTGGTCAGATAAGCCTTCTCTCCCTTCCTCTTAATACCCAGTAATAAGGCATGGTTTTGTTTTTGCTGTAAGCGCTGTACAATTTTGCTGAATACATTTTAATCCTACTAATCATGAGAACTTTATGGGGGCATTTCAAGATCAATTCTACTAATACTGAAAATAGTGCAGTTAGTAAATTCACTCCATCTACTTATAATGGCTGATTTGTTTAAGGTGGAACCCTGCCTAGCAGCTGTCAGAGTGCAGGCAGAATGGGGTCTGAGGTCATATCAGTGAGAGGGCTGGCAGCACCGATCAACATATGTCAGTAAAAGTTAATTTACTTACCAAACCCCAGATTTCCAGTCTCGGGTAGAATACAATTACTGATTAATATAACTGGCAGTGTTGCCCACAGTTCCAGCTGTTGTTCTTCTACTGCAGAATCTCTCGTAGCCCTTCCTCCCCAGCCTTATTGTCCCTGACCCACACCTTGTATGCACTCAATATGGATTCTAGGGTGGTCTGCAAGAATTGCAGCCTTCCTAAAAACGTCTACTCCTTTAGACTGACAGCCACCCATCCAAGCATTCTGATATTTGCATAGTCTCCCAAAAGTCAGCCCCCTGCCTGTATCCGGTCTGAGGACTCTTGAGCGACGTACTGAGGCACGGTGCTGTGATGGTTTCAGGAAGCTATGTACAGCACCCTGCTCTGCTGGCCCCTCCCACCAGACATGATCAGCCTGCTTTGTATAGAGAAGCAAAGGGACCCATTAATGGCGTATTATCCTCCATATTAATCTGGATGTTCCTTCTATGGTCTCCAGAAAGCCCCTTCCCATTTTTAAGGAGTCCCTCAAGCGTCTACATGGAAAGATTCCAGAACAAGCCAGCTTAGGGCCTGTACCAATGGGCTTTGGTCTTATGTCAATGGCCAAATACAGGGTGCATACCACTTGCATTTGAGATCACTTTGAGAAGCTTCTGAATCCATTCACAGTTCCTGGACATGTGGATCTGACTTGCAGGTGATCTAAGCTGCTTCTACTTTTGCATTCCTGTTGACCTGTATGGGAAGAAAAGCAGTTCTGATGCAAAACAAAGTTGACTCAGGCCCTTAAAGAGACCCTGTCGCAACATTTTGAAAAATACAGCAAATCAAGTAATTTAAATACTTGCTTTGTTTTTCCTTTCCATATTTTATATGTAATGTGCTCCTGAACGTGCAACAAAAATTTGACTATGCCAGGAGTCAGTTCCTTAGCACACTCCCCTCTATGCATGTCATAACTCTTCCCACTTCTGGAAGGATCTAGTTGTTCTCTGTGCTGGGCCAGCTCCTTCACCTCCCTACATAACCTTTCACGTAGCTGCAGGAGGAGGAGCAAAGGGAAATACTATAAGGTATCGTTCACACCTAGGCGTATTGCATATGCGCGTCTGTCGCGTGTTTTTTTACCGCGATTTGCGGTAAAAAGTCGTGAGACCGCCGCGCGTTTCCGAAGGCTACTTGGCTGTAGCCCAATGGAAACGCGCAACAAAACGGCCCAAAGTAGTACCTGTACCTTTTCAGTTGTGGGCCGTTTTGTAGCGCGTTCAGGTGTGAACGAGGGCTAAAGTGTCACTTGAGTGACCACTCTGAGTCTGCTGGGGCTGTTGACATGTCTAAGATGGCAGCACCCAGCAGCAGTCTTGAGGCTTTTACAGGTAAATAACATGCATAAAATATGGCAAAATACACATATAATCTCATGGAAAGCTTTTTGTTGAATAAATGGTCTGGTGACAGGGTCTCTTTAAGTGACCTGAGAAAATTTAGCTGCTTTAATAAAGAGAATTTTCAATTAAATTCAGCTACTTTGAATCTGCAAGTCCCATCATCTCTTGCCAGGTTGAACGGTGTCCTGGCGTGCTGAAATTTGTAGTTCTTCAGCAGCCTTTCAGAGATATTTTCGGGGTGGTTTTGTGCGGAAGGGCTGCTTATTTGCTAACCTGATTAACTTTACGCTGCACTCTCACCCCTTGATGTCATTTTAGCTCATGGTGTAGTTTTATCCTTCCTGCCTTTTATACAGCTATAACTGTCCTGTTTCTGCCCTGTCTCTGTTCTCCACCGTGTCTCTTTTTTTCCCTTCCTCTGCCTCCCTCCAGCCGGGAACATCAAATTGCAGCAGACCCTGTCCCCAGTGGACCCTATGGAGATCAAGGCCGATGTCCATTGGACTCACGTCCACAAGGTTAACAAAGAGCAGGAAGGGGAAGAAGTAGGCATGTCCTCTCAGTCCAAAGGTAACCCCCCACCTTCCTCCCCATTGGATAACCGGATTCAGAATCGGTGGACTTATTAACATTCTATTTTAGAACTTTCACAGTGTTACAATGTTAACCTTTAAAGGAGTGGCATTCTGGTCTTCAATGAAACAATAACAAAAGTTGCCCAGCTTCAACCGTACAATAGAAAAAATGGCGGTCAAGGTCTAGGTGAAAGTACCTGTACTGATGAACTTTCAATTTCTGTTCTAGTTTTAGCCTACATGACTGTATTTAAAGCAAAACTCCACCTCCTTCAAGGGTCACTAATCACTTTGTAAGAAACATTCATGACATGTTTTGCTCCCTTAAGTCTGAGCACGCTTCTGAAGTTTTCACTGTGTCAAATAAGGAATTTAAAGCTGAACTCCGGGCAAACCGCTAAATGCAGAAATGAATCGCATATATGGGAACTGTTTTACCTACTAAAGGTTTTTGCATTTCTGACCATCCAGTCCTAAATATTTTACACTGCACTGCCACACAGCGCAGCCCTGTCTGTCAGGGAAGGAGGCTTGATTTTTCTCTACTGCAGTTCAGTAACACAAGTCTTGTCCCTTCCCCAGTCTGTGAATGGACAGTGAGAAGAGAAGCAGCAGACTGAGGAGCTCATCTCTCTGTCATTCTGCTCACTCCTCGTATCAGCATGCTTCTTGGCGGTACATGAACTAGTTGGCTTTTTGTGCTGCTTCATACTATCCCATTCTGCTGTACAGGGACAACAACAGGCTGATTCACTCTGCCCCGACAAGCCATGTTTAAACTTTGTGTGTAATGTAGGGGATACTTCAGGAGCCTGTACAAACGTAAAGGAACCTGATCGGTCATTAGTGCGGTTTATAGATCTGTCACTTCTATTTTCAGCAGCAGGAAGAAGTTAGCAGGACATTCTGGTTTATATTTTATCCATCACCACTGGTCGGTTAGTTAAATAAGTTTTTAAAAGTTGGTCATTTGAACGGTTTAAAGTGTACCTGTCACATCTGCAGAATGGGTCTTGACTGAACTTATGCAAAGTAGTCCCATCAGCTGCCTGATAATCAGCGCCATAGGCGGTAATGCTGCAGTTTCCTAGGGTGCATACAAAATGGCCGATTCACAGTGTCTATACAAGAGGTACATATCACCGCTGTGCCTTATTAATAACTGAAAACATTCTTACAGGTTCTCACCTTTTAGTTTCCACCACAAATGTAATTGTTTATGCCACAAAATAAATAGTGCACGGCACCTCCAGCCAACCGCCAGGGCAGAGAAAGTCATCTTTGTGCTCTGATCCGATTTGCATCCTTTTTTTCCCCATTTTGATTGACTTTCGTTGTTCCTCTTGTCGTAGCGCTCAAGCTTCTGTCCCACCGTCATGACCCTGTTAGAACGTGGCTGGAGTCTGTGTCCGGAGGTAGATGGGGTCACCACGACCCCTCCAATGAGCTATGTGCTTGCAGCCCTAGACGACTTTGCGCTGTGCATGCACGCTATGCGCTGGCTGCCGCTTGTGTGGCGCACGCTCTGTCCTTACACACTTGTTGTTTTTCTGCTCATACAAAAGGAGGGCATGTTTCCGCAAAGTTATGGCTATACACCTGTGCTCTGAGAGAAGAGATATGACTTTTACACAGCAGCTGCACCTCAGATAGAGGGAGGTTTAAGTGTTAGGGTTCAGGTAGGGGGAGAGTTAGGTGTTGGGGTTAGGGTAGGAGGAGGAGGAGAGTTAGAGCAAGGGTGGGCAAATCACACCATGTCTCTGTCAGTCTTGCAATGGCTCATGGGAGTTCCCCAATAGCTGGAGGGCAAGCGTTGCCCACCCCTGAATTAGAGGGAGAGTTAAGTGTTAGTGTCAGAAAGGGTTAAGTTTTAGGGATCAGTAAGGGGGGGGGAGAGTTGAGCGTTAGGGTTCAGGTAGGAGAGTTAAGTGTCAGGGATCAGGTAGATGGACAATTATGTGTTGAGATATAGACAGGGGAGAAAGTTAAGAGTTATAGGGTCAAAGTGGGGAGCTTAAGTGTTAATTTCAGGTATTGGGAGAGTGAAGTCTTAGGGTTCAGTTAGGGGAAAGTTAAGTGTTGGGGTTTAGGTAGAGTGATAGTCAACTGATAGGGTTCAGGTATGGGAGAGTTAAGTGTTACGGTCAGATTATCAGGGATAGGTTAGAGGTCAACAGTTTTGCTCCGTGTGCTTTTTCTGAAAGCCTAAAATGAGGATTAGGCCTCGTTCAGATTTGATTTTCTACTACAAAACCATTGATTGCAATGGTCTAGTTTGCAAGTGACACCGCCTGCCAAACATGGCATGCTGTTTATAATTGCCGCAGCGCAAACCATCACAGCTACCGCGGCATGTGTCCAAGCATGAGCATCCACTATAATAAATTGTAGGGGGGGTGGGGGCAGTGAAAACCCAGATCAACCACTTGTTTTATCTGCCCTTCGGCCACCGGTGTGAACGAGGCCTTACAGCACCAAGCTCTTGGTAGTAAAAACAAATATACCATTCTCCCACTCTGGGTAGAGTTGACTTAGTAACCCAGTACTTCCTTGTAGAAGAAGTCTCTCTCAAACCGATGCAGTGTATAAGGTTTGATGCTGCTTGCTTTCTTTGGAAGATTTGGGATGTTGCTGTTCATGTACAGTACTGTATGAAAAGTGGAACGTCTTAATACTAGTCACTGTTCCTTATACAGCCGCGGATGGTAAAAGCTAAAATATCTGCAAAAGCTTTCAACTAACTTCATACTCTGTTGCTTTTATGTTATGTTAAACTTGTGGCCTTCCTTCCTGAAGGGATTAACCAATAAAGATTATGAATAGTTGTACCTCTTCTCTGCCAGTAGGGGGCGCTGCACACTTAGTCCAAGACAGCACTTTAATTACAGCACCATAACAGAGCAACACCGTGATGCAGGAGTTAGTGCAACATTGAGTACGATTGTTGTAACAGGCTAGTAATGTGTTCTGTGGATCCCAGCCTGTTACATGGCGCAAGTTTGTTGTGAGTCACAAGGTGAGAGGCTGCAGCAGGGACTGATCTGTCTCAGGAACTGCACAGGCACCAGGATTTAAATGATTGCATCATCTCAGCCAGCATCTCAGTTCATGAAATAGATGGTGACATGGAATTATGGCTGAACAAAGATGTCTCCTTCCTTCTGGAGAGAAAAGCAAATGAAGGCATTGTCAGGAGGAGGTGGCCAACACAGTAATGTTCAGGAAATTTTAACAAACGTTTTCATGTTCAAGGCAACCTTATCAATAAGTTTCTCTCAAATTGGGATGCAGTGTAAATGGTTGGTTGTAGGTTGCCTTGATCTGTGTGGCCAATTTTCTAAAATACGATTATACAGTCGATTTTAGATGCAAGCATGTTTAGCAGAGTTCTCCTTAAATGCAGGAAGAGTAATGTTAGCGCCCCCTGATGGCAGAGAGGTGGTTGCTCACATGCTGACCAATGCTTTCTAGCACAATCTATGTCTGGTAGATAACTAACACTGAATATGGCGGGCTGCATCCGGCTGGGTGTGAGTTCTGTACTGTGACACCCACAGTGTTTTCCCATCCTCTATGTCTTTGTCATTTCACATTTTCTCTGCTCTCTCTTCCTGGGTTCTCTCTCCCCCCGTCTCCCTCCCTCAGCACCATGCGAAGATGACGCGGAGGCCGATGTTCTTGGGTCAGGTCTTGCCGAGGCTGAAGCGGGAGGTGACGGGGACACTTCTGCTGATCTTGGTGATCTTGGTGACGGTACGTTGGCCTCTATGCTTGGTGATTGGGCAGAAGATGATGCAGAAAGAAACAATTAGTAGAATTAAAGAACACACTTGTTCTCTGCGTATTGAGCTTTTATTGTAGAATTTGTACATATGCATGTGGTGTCAGGTCTCTCTGGCTGATTTTGCTTGCCAAATTTGTTTTTTTAAAAAGTCCAATTCCACTTCACTGTATCCATCCAGGCAACAAGTAACACCAGTGAGAGTTCCTCACATGTAGGGTGGGTGGCTCCACTGAATCTTTCCATTGTAACTTCCTTGCTTTTATGACACTTTTATACACAAGACATTTTTTTGTATTTGAGAGATACCAAGGTGTCGACAGAGGGAAAACCTGTCCTTGGTAAACAAAAGGGAATCCCTAATCATAGGATTGCTGACCAACAGCATGGCGTGGACTGGGTTCCTTACAGCAATGCCTGGAGAAAATAAAACACTTGAGTGGTAGGCCATGTTTCGGCCATACAAAATGCACTCCTGGCTGTTATAGGGGTTTAGCCTGGCAGTGCAGACACTGACCCACTCATTGGTCTTCAAACATTCCACAAACGTTTTTTAGTACAGGTACCTCATAAAAAGGAGTTCTAAGAATGCCTAACCAAATTTCTTGTTTCATGGATCAGATGATGACATCCCATCAGATGCAGAAGCAGAGGAACGTCTGCAGCAAGCGGAGAGATTGAAACTTAAGTTGGATGAGGATCTGGAGTTGGAAGTGGTGGCACTGGCTCAGCAGGGTAGAGCTTCTCTTAATCTTATTCTTGAGTGTGGTGTTTATAAAAAAAAAAAAAAAGAAATCTACCATTCACTTGAAAATTAGAAGGCCTTTTCATAAAAGGTGGTTAATACTTTCTCCATCTTTCATTGAGGGACACAGCACTGTAGATTGATAACCATTCGGTGCAGTGCTTTCTACAAGAGGACTGGACACTAAGTAAAGGAAAAGAGGCCAGCGTGACATACTTCAGACGGGAGAATTGTTTTAATAAATGTGCATTTTTTGTTACAGAAGCTGAAAGACCTCCCAGTCCAGTTGCAGTGACCCCACAGGCAGCAGTATTGTCTCCAATCAGGAGCCCTAAAGAAGATGCTGGGAAGGTGAGTGAGAGGACTTTATTTGGAAATGTTTGGTCATTCATTAAAGAAATGTTTTGTGCACACATCTTTGTCTTTTTTTTGTTTTTTTGTTAATGCTTTCCTCACAATTTAAGTTTTGTTTTCTTCCGTAACACAATTTGGATGTTAATTGATAAAGGGATGACATTTTCTAACTAACATTTTATTGTGCCCTTAGGCCTCATTGAGGTCTCCTCTGCAGGACCTGACCTCTCCAGAAGTCCGTTTCTTCCCTGAACCATTCTTGCCACAGACGGGAAAAAAAGTGATGTATCCTTCAGAACAGAAACCTCAGACCTCTCTCTCACCTGTGTGTTCCCAACCAGTTGCAATGCAAGAACCCGTTATCCCTACTTCTCCCATGAAATCTCCTTCACTGCAATCCCTTGGGCGTCCCTTAAGGACCCCAACCTTGCCCATCTGCTCCCAGCCTCTTCCTTCCACAGAGCCAGCCGTTCCCACCTCAACCACGTCCCCCGTATGCCTGCAGCCCTCCCCAGTTATTACTTCCACTCCTCTGGCCAAACTGCCTTATTCTGGGGATGAACTGACCAGCCCCAATGCAGAGGAGGCAATGAAACGCATTGATTTAATAGAAGAGTTCTGGATGAAGAGCGCTGAGATTCGTCGTAGCCTTGGGTTAGCACCTGTTGACCGGAGTCAAACCCCTGAAATGAGCTTTCCAGCCATTGACACCTCTGCTGCACGGACACAACTATCTAAGTCCACCCCCAAAGAGCTGAAATCTCCATCCCCAAAACCTCAAAAGGTACACAAGAAGATGAATCCAAACAGATTGGACTTTGAGCTTCTCTCACCGCTTACTCCCATATCACCATCTGAGAAGGAGCTTAAGAGCTCGGAAGGGGAGAAAAAGGACCTTTCAACCAGCTCTGGTCTAGGTTTGAATGGTAGCCATTCTAATACCCGGACAGTGGCCAGTGAGAGCTTTAATACATCAGATTCTGCTATGCTTACTCCACCTTCCAGCCCTCCTCCTCCTCCACCCCAAGGAGAAGAGCCTGCTACACTTCGCCGTAGTCTGGCTTCCTGGCAGAATGGACCAGAAGCTGCCCAAACACCCCTTGAAGCACAAGTTAAACGTCCCGAGGTCTCCAAGCCCACTCAAAGGTTGGAAGAAGCTCGAAAGTCCTTTGTAGAGAGTGTGGATGAAATTCCTTTTGCAGATGATGTAGAAGACACATATGATGAAAGGACTGAGAACTCTAGCCTCCAAGAAAGGTTCTATACTCCACCAACCAGCCAGAGAAAGCCCCCAAACCTGGCACTTACAAAGGAGAATGGAGAATTGCCAACTTCCTTAGAAAGAGGGCACCATAGAAAGAAAGGCCTTCCGCAAGTGACTCCAGAAGTTAAAGAACTGGCTGAGGAGCGGATGAGAGCACGAGAAAAGTCTGTAAAAAATCAGGCTTTAAGGGACGCTATGGCACAACAACTAATGAAAATGAAGCATATGGAAACTGTTCCATCTACAAGGACATCCAGAGCCCTTGGCTCATCTTCCACCAAACTCGCCACAGATCTTCCAACAGAGTCCAGCCGAGCAGGGACTCATCCTGAGGCATCCACCCTGAGACTAGAAAACTCTGCGGAAGTTTTTTTGTCTCCACCTGTTGGCTCCATCACATCTTCAGAGGGCTCTGGTGGCAAACCCAAAAAGAGGCCTTCACTGTTTTCCCCAAGAAAGAAGGAGAAAAAACCAAAGGGGGAGGCAAATCGTTTGTCTGATAAACCAGACGAAGTTACCAAACCCAAATCACTGTGGAAATCAGTGTTCTCCGGGTACAAGAAAGAGAAGAAGAAGAAAACTGCTGATGATAAGTCTACACCAAGCACACCATCCAGCAGCACCACCGTGGACTCAGGGAAGGTCAAAGTGCCCAGTGTGCTTCGTGGAGCAGGTACAGATAGCAGGGCTACAATTTTTGCTGTTTAAAAAATCGTTTTGGACAACAAAGTGGACAACTTAGATTCACTGCTGCTGTTAATTGTTTGGGTTTTATTATTTTCAGACTCATTTAAAGGAGAGTTCTTTCCATTTGAAAACTTGAATGAGTTTTCCTACCGTTTTACTATAGTTCTTAAATTCCCAGGTGTTTTGTGGGTCCTTTTACCAACTGCATACACTATATGACCGAACGCTTGTGCCCCAAATGATGGTGTTCAGGTGTTTCCAGTGAAAGGTACTGGTAATGCTACAGCATACAAAGGCATTGTGAATAATTGTCCAACCTTGTAACAGTTTGGTGAAGGCCTTTTTCTGTTCCAGCATGACCATGCCCCTGTGCACAAAGCCAGAAAATCCCATCACTGCTATAGTTTCCTGTTTTATAGCATCTGATCCCAATTTCAGCCCTGGTTTCTTTTCTTAATCCTCTTGCTTCTATAAACATTCAAGCTTCTGTACGTACACTGTATGGCAACATGTTTGTGCAGACCTGACCATCACACAACCATCTATGAGCTTGTTAGACATCCCATAACTTGTTAAAGATGTCACCAGCACACCATATTGAAGTGAAGAACACATCTTTTTGGTGATGCTTCATGTCACAACAAATAACTACGGTACGTTTCGGGGCCACACAGGGTCCCCTTCATCATGCTTGAAATGAAGGGGGCCCTGTGTGGCCCTAAAACGTTATTTGTTTTGACATGACGCATCAATAAACAGACCTGTTCTTCAGTACGGTGTGCTGGTGACATCTTTAACAAGTTTCAGTATTGGTGGCGCCATCCGCGGTCACTTCAAGCACCCACGCTGACGGGGATACCCGGTAAGGAGTGCAGCAGGGTTCTGGAATACATGTTAGACATCCCATTCCAAAACATTGGACATCAAACCATGAACTTTGCCATCAATGTTCAATTTTATCCCTAAGGTGATTAGTAAGCTTGAGCTCAAGGCTGGAGTAGGCCTCTTAAGATCCTCCACATCAAACTGGTCAAGCCATGTCTTTATGGAGCTGGCTGTGTGCGCACGGGAACCGTCATCCTGAAAAAGAAAAGGGCCTTCCCCAAACTGTTGTCACAAGGTTGGAAGAGCACAATTGTCTAAATGTCTGTGTATTTTGTAGCAATAACAATACCCGTCACTGGAAACCCTGAACGTAATCATTTGTAGGGCAATTCACTATACTTTTGGCCACATAGTGTATTAGGACAATGAAGGGAATTTATCAAAACTGGAGCAGACAAAATCAGCTTCTCTCTTCAGTTTGTTCAGTTAAGATTTCAACATGAAAGAGAGAAGCTGATTGGTTGACATGGGCAACTGTACCAGATTTTGTCTGCTCCAGTTTTGATCAATTCCACCCACTGTCCCAATGACCACAGAAATAAATAACATTCCACTTGGGTCAGTATTGTGTCACTGGTGTACGTTCAGCCGCACTTCTCTTAGAGAATAATTATCTCTATGGTATGGGTTACTATATAGTAACCCAAATTGTAGCTTTACCCAACAAGTCAGTGACCTTAGTGGGCGAGGCTACACATTCGCATTGGGCAAACATGCCACTTAACCCTTATTCACCCCTCAAATTGATGGTTTTGTCCTGTATCCTTTACTTTCAGAATTGCCTCTTCGGCGGCACCTTAGCTTCTCCGAAGACTCAGACCTGTCGAGTGATGATGTCTTAGAGAAGTCCTCACAGAAATCAAAGCGAGAGGTAAGCGTCAGTGTTGCGAAAGCGTAGATGGCTTATGCTATGGCAGCACTAAGAGAGGGTCTGCGTTCATACACGTTATCTTCTGTAACGGAACATGTTTGCACAAGCTGCCATAAGTGCACCTGTCACTTGTATGCAGTCCAGTCAAGCATTCTATACCCAAGTTGAATATGGGGACATCTCTAGTTCCTTTCTAGTGTTCTCTGGATATGAATGCATTGTACAGAATGCCTGTTTATGCATGACATACACTTGATTTGTCTTTAACCAGTTGACATCCGCGGTGTTAAACCCCAATGATAGAAAAATTCCCAGACAATGCCGGTGTGTGCACTAACCCAAAATATAAGAAGAATTCTAGTCAAAGATACAACTTTCCCTTTGTCAGTCTCTCTCACTTCCTTTTGCTCTATTACTCTTCTTTTTTTCTTCCTTCCTTTCTTCCTTCTTTCTTCCCTTTTTTGCTTCATTCCTTTTTTCCTTCTTTCCTTTCTTTCTCTCTTCCTTTCTTTCCTTCCTTCCCTTCCATATTTCCTTATATTCTTTCCTTTTTTTTTCCTTCCTTCCTTTCTCTCTTCCTTTCCTTCCTTTCTCTCTTTCTTGCCTTCCTTTCTCTCTTCCTTGCCTTCCTTTCTCTCTTCCTTGCCTTCCTTTCTCTCTTCCTTGCCTTCCTTTCTCTCTTCCTTGCCTTCCTTTCTCTCTTCCTTGCCTTACTTCCTTCCCTTACTTCCTTCTTTAAGTTCACAGAATGGTGGTCTCACATTTCAGAATAAAGCTTCTGTATAGTAAGTGAGACACTGATGGAAGCTCAGCCTGACCAAACAGAAAAAGAAAGATTTAGCAGCTGGGCATTACCTATTATACGTTCTTGTACGCGGATGTTCTGTATACTTTGACTGCAATTCTAATGTGAATATTAAACAATATTCTCTATGGAGTTCAGCAGACGGGAGTATTACACAGGTCCTGTTGCTGATTTAAAAAAAAAAAAATTGTATGTGATTGTACGTATCAATGTCTTCCCCGTTACTAATGATGACCCCGGGGTTTGTCAGCAGCCTTTTAAAGGGCAACTCCACTTTTGTGGGGAAAAAATTGATTTAACATATAAAATTACTACTGAAGCTTTTTTTGTACATGGATGTTAATGAAAAAAATACATAATTAGCAATCTACAGTTTTCTAAAACGGATACACAATTCACACACTGTTTCTTATCTGTTGGTGTACCTGTCTTCCTGGAAATGTCATTGGCTGTTACAACACTGACACTGGTCATGTGACTGTAGCAGGAAGGCTTCCCCCTTCCCTCATGACAGAAGCAAGGGTAACTCGTGTGCCAGTACAGAAGGCAGAATTGGAAGGTGGAATTCTGAAATATCTGACATTTCCTTGTATATAGCTGAGTAGGGAATGACAGGTTTTTTTTTCCCCATCTAAAGTGGAGTGACACTTTAAGCTCCATTCATTGCTGCGATAATATATCAAAAACACTTGTTGGTTTATTTTAATTTCATCGTCTTAGCTTTTTGTCTTCATTTTGTATATTGCAAGCCTGACATATGTGCAGGGAATGTTTTCTTTGTAACAATGACATCAAAGTTGTAACATTTACGGTTATCTGGATATAAGGCCTTCCTTTACTTGATTGCTACAAGTTACAGTTCTCCAGTAATGAGTCAACTCTGAGCAGACTCTTTTGTGGTCTCGTCCTGGAACAATAAAGCTTTGTGAAGGTTGATGTCTATAGTGTGTGGCCGTATGTTTGAGAGTGATAACCGTCCGGAATATTTTGCTGTCCGGTAAGCTGTGTAAAAACATCTCGGCCCATTTCTCAGGCATTGTGTGTTGCGTGTTCTCAGGGTTGGCAGCTGTTGGTTTGGTTTTTACATTTTGTATATCAAAGTTTTTAATTAAATTTAAATAATTTTAAATAAAATGTATGTATAGCCAAATCTTTTTCTTCTTAGTTTTGGGTAAAGTGGTGAAGGTCCATGTTTATTTTTTGCTGTCTGTGTACCATTTGGGGAGATTCCTCTTTTTTTTTTTGTGTACAGGTGATGCAACAGGAAGTGAGAGTAAATCACTGGATTTCAGTTCCTTCAATCAGGGAACCTCAGGATGACACATGGGTGTTACCTAGGGTGGTCCGCATGTAAAATACAGACTGCCTAGGAACACCTATTCCTTGCCAATCAAAGCATTTTGATATTTGTATAACTCCCAAGAGCCAGCCCACTGCTTGAAGCGGGGTTGAGGGCTTTTGAGAGGCAGGGTGTTGTGGTGTTTTCCGGAAGCTATGCAACCTGCTGGCCTCTCCCCCCAGCCAAAATCCGCTTGCGTTGCATATTGAAGCACAGAGTCTACAATAGGGTATGTAATGAAAACAGAAAGGTTTCATTTACATTTTATTAGCATTTTGATGAGGGCGGTGAGAGAAATCAAGGCAGGGAGATTAAAATACAGTTTTAATCTACCCGGGGGGGGACACAGACAGCAATAAAATCTTGACAGGGCTCTAACTCCTCCCTATTTTGAACTAGGGAAAAAGCATTTTGGCTATACACTCAATGTAAGCAGTAAGCTTTGACTTCATACTTAGTTCTCACAGATGAGGGAATGCGGCTCCATTTACTGACAGTTGGCAGCCCTGATTGCGCCATCCTCTTGTGTTGACAAAGTGTTATCTTGGGGGTTTTAGAAGAGCAGCATGCAAGGGGGTGACCCTTCTGATTCCTGCAACGGGTGTCATGGCTTTTTCTGTCTCCGCAATATCACGGCACAAGATCACCACGTCTTGTGCCACTAGTACATTTTTGACCTGCCAGACTTGCTGTACTGCTCTCCCATAATCCCCTGCAAACATCCTCCATACCAAGAGTTTTATTGTTTTTATGAAATTGTTTTTAACATTTACTGATTGTGTTATTGATTAATCTCATTTCATTTGCTTTAACTGAAATATTTTGCTTCATTTTCCCCTCCCCCCCCC